AAATACTCCAGAATCTGTGCAATTTTTAAATCAAGTGTAGAATCTATTACAAATCCAGCGCAAGAATCAACAACTACTTCTTCATTTATTTCTCCATTATCTTTTTTTTCACTTCAATAAATTTGTATCCCAGCAAAGAAGTTGTAACAGTTTGATTTCGTTTATATTAAGAATAATCTATGCAAAATAAGAGTTAATAAAAAGTTGGGTGCAAAATTCAAAGGTCCATATACGAAGTCAAGAATTAAAAATCCGTAACAAGTTGTTATCCGTTAACAACAAAAAAAAAAAATTTTTTTTTTTAACCATTTAACTATATCCAATCATTAATTATCCATCCTCTTATTGTTCACAAATGAACATTACCGAGAAAACAGCTCTACTACTTACAGCTTTAGAAATTTAATATTTTGTTGCTGTTAAGGAACTCATGTGAAACAAAACAAGGTACTCTTCAACACCTACTGCTCAAGAAAATCTCATCTTGGATGAAACCGTCTAAAAATCAACACGGGAAAAATGTCCGATCTGAACAAAATGAGAAAACAAGCTTTTTAAAAAAAATTGCCATTCCTTCTTAAGGGGGGAGTTGTTATGATTCCATTTTTAGTTTATTCATTTCTTTTTTTTTTTCTTATTTGTCAAAAGGGAAGCAACAATGAATGAGACACATATAAAAGGAAGTTCTTTTTTGGTCTTTGTTTAGGCAACCTTACTTCTGATTTGTGAAAAGTGTACATCAAGTATTAAACACGACCCGAAGAAATAAACTAGAAATTAATATCGAATTAATTAATAACATTAAATATAAAAATCGAATCTAAATCGTAACAGTACCCTAATCTTATTATAGAAAAAGTCTTGTGACGTTCCAAATACAATTACAATTTTATATTTGGCATCAGGTTTTAACCGAATCCCTATGAAAGAATCCGATAGGAAAAAAACAGCTTTCGCTACACTTCTGGAACATTATGTTACACGTATGGCTTTAGGATTAAAGAACGCTCCGGCAACATTTCAAAAAAACTATTGAAATTATCCGGTTTACAGGGATTAAAGTGCTTTTTTTTAATCTTCATGATATAGTCATTCATACCAGCAGCGTTAAAAAACAAAATAAAATTTAAAAAAAACGTACTAGATGGACTCCAAACTAACAACCTCAAATCTTGGCCTGTCAAATGCGAATTTTTTAGAATAGAAATCGTTTATTGAAAACACGCCGTTAGTGACGCCCTTGTAAGACTGAAATCCTGAGAAAATACAAGGTATAAAAAAATGCATTTCCAATTCCGAAAAACGTTAAAGGTAACAAATCATTTTTCGAATCGATAGGATACTATCGAATATTTAGGAGGCACCCCGGGCTACAGGAAAAAGGAAAAGGAGGCCGTTGCGGAGGAGGCAACCTTCCGACTCGTTCAAATCAGGACCGGGGAGATAGCTCGCCTGACAAAGGATTACAGGGGCGGGAAAAACAAAGGCCGACCGAAGAGTGAAAAAAACACGGCAGCAAAACCGCCTGAACCTGAAGTCATCGTAAACGTGAAGAGGAAGACAGCGGACGCACTCAATAGCAAAAACACGGGTGTTAAAAAGGCTAAACCCCGAGTCGGTGGGTTCGCAACTGAACCCCCCCCCTCCCGGGCTCATTTGTTACTGTGACTTTGCGTAATAATTCAAATAGAAAAAAAAATAAAATAAAATAAACGTGAACGTTTACCCGTTCGAGCATTTCGTGTTTTCCGACAGAAAAGAATCAGCAGAAAAATATGAAAAACGCTCACGACGTAATTAATGATAAATGATCAATTGTTAACGTTTGCACTCTCAACTTCAGCTTTTTCTTTTCTTTAACGTCCTTACTTTTTAAAAAATTAAAAAATTTCAGATACGTTTTTTTTGGTTTGGCACTTTTTGTACTATTTGGTTCAGTTCAGCAATAAAAGAAGAATTTGAGGTTTTGAAAAAAATCAATCTGAAAAATCGGAAAACTTTTCAAATATTAAAAAAAAAAAGAGAGAGAGAAATTCTCGTTTTAATTTAAATAAAAATTCAACTCTACTCACTTTTTAACAATGTAAAAAAAAATGAATATGATCGAACGCGTTTCGTGAATCACAACACGTTTCGATAAGAAAGAAAAAAGCTTACTTGAATAAATATTTTCCTGTAAAATTTATTAAGTTTTTCCATTTAAAAAAGATTCTGAACTGTTTTGAAATAAAGAAAAAAAAATACTTCTCGTTAATTTTAACCAATTAATTAATTTTTTAAAACACTTATTTTCTATTTAATGAAAAAATAAATAAATAAATAAATGTAAAAGGTGAATTATATTACCTTGATACAATTACCATTTAGAATTCAACAAAAAAAAAATTGAAATGAAATTTTAAATAAAATTTCTTAAAATATAATCAGTTTCTCCAGTTTCACTGTTGGAAACTCTAATTATTGAAAAATTTGACAATTTAATCTTGGTTTCACTGACTTTTAATGCTCACACAAAATTAACATCGTCAAAAAAAAAAAACAAATGAATTGCAGTTGTTACTTCAAATCTGTAATAAAAGTTAAAATTTTTTCCTAGTATTGTTGTTTAAAATATTACAAATACTTATCAATTAAAAGTGATTTAAAAAATTTTTCATTTGGTTACAAACATTCAGAATTTTCAAAAAAAATTAAAAAAGTTTTGAATCACATTCCTCAATTCCACAGGTTAATTACCATCAAATGTATTTTGACAAAATATGATAAAGCATAAAAAAAAAATGTAGTCACAATGTTGTAAACATCAAAGTGTATGTTCGCTGATTTTACACTACATCATGGCTGACTACAGCGAGTGTATTTGAAAAAATAATTATATGAAATGGCAATAAGCCATCATACCGTTTAAAAAAAACACTCTTCTTGCCATTTCTTAGCAAACATTTCTCGCTTTGCTTTATTACTCTTTTCATTAGAATGATCATTTAGTTTTTTTCTGAAACGATGAAAAAAAAAAAATATATATATAAATATCATATATATAATAATACAATAAAATATTATAAGAATGGTAATTAAATAAAATTGTGAAAAACATGTTTAAATACTTTTTAAAGCATACTTACACAGAATTCTAAATTTATCGAAAACATTGATTCCTGTACTCCTTGGCTATTGAACATTGCCATGATTGAACCAATTGTATGAGAATTAAATGGTGTGGTGATGATCTACAACTTTTGAAATTTGATGTAACAGATTTTCGGAAATGCCACCATTAACATTTATGAGAATCCTGCAATTTTACAATTTTAATGCGAGAGTGTACACTTAAAATAAAAAACGAGTGTCACGCAATTTTATTTATCCTAACACAAATAATTACTGATGGTTTCTAAAGAAGAAAATTTAAAAAAGATGTTGCTTCCTCTGGAGTATATTTTCAACAAAAAGTAAAATATGCATACAGTAAATTTAATTGTAAAACAATTAACATTAAAATGTAAAAAAAAACGTCCTTGAAAACAAAATCGGTTAATTTTTTGATTTTGTTATTCACAATTTTAAATAACGCCTGATTAGGATACGACCGTTATAAAAATTCAGCCAATAAGTATGCTCACCTTTGAAAAATCCTTTTTTTTTTTCTTTTTTTTTTTTTCTTTTGTTTTGGTAAATGTTTTTTAAACTCTGATGAATGAGCCACTTAAAACAGTTTTGTCAAATTTACCACGCGAATATACATAAATAAATAAAATCAAAAATTAAAAATTAATACCGTCTAAAATTATTATACAATTGAAATTGAACGCGTCGTGCAGATCGATGTACTCTATGGACGCGGTTATTTCTAACTGACGTGGAATTTGATGAATTTTAAAAATTAAAACCACGTTAAAAAAAAAAAAAAATTGAAGTTTCGCAACTAATAAATGAAGTTCGAAACTAATTTTTTTTTTTAATGCTCATTAGAAAATTTCCTTTTTTTTTTTTTTTTTTTTTTTTTTTTTTAAATGCTAAACTAAAGACACGTACGCAACATTAAAATGAATTTTTAAACAACGTTATTATTGTCAATAAAAAAATTTTAACAAAAAATGACTATCATAATTTAAACACATTAATATCGACTGCACTAATTCTATGCTAAGATCAATTTAAATTAATTCCCTTTTCTACTCTCAATTAAATGATGATGTTATTATGAACAAACAAAAAAATTTTATTTTAAGCAAGCCCCTAATCAATTTCTATAAACTTTTATCTTTAACTAATTTTTATTGAAAAACCGTTTTAGGTAAAAATAAAAAAAAAATAAAATAAAATTTTATTTCTTTGAATTTCTTGAAACTTACTTTTTAAAATTTTTTAAATATATCACTAGTTTGTAAAAAATAAAAGAAAATAAAATAAAATTTCCAAACATTAACAACGCGTAAAAAAAAAAAAATAAATAAAATAACCTAAACAGGTTTTGAAAATAATATTTTTTAAGAAATCAAAATTTTTAGCGCAAAAACCACATATAAAAAATCTAAGGGTAACTTACATTTTATTAAATAAAATAATTAATAAATTAATAAAATAATAATATTTAAAATAATAATAATAATTTAATAAATATAAATCTTTTTTTTTTTTGGTAATTTGAATATACTTTAATTCGTACACTTTCAAAGGTAAACAAACACTGCCAACATAATTTTATCAAATGCAATGTTAAAAATATTGTATCGTGGAATTAATGTTTTTCAATTATAAATAAAAAACGAAATGCTTATTAATTAATTACGTTTAAACGTTTTTTACATTTACCCAAAATTTGTAATTCTAGATTAAGATGCCGCAAAAAAAAAATTTTTCCTGCATTCTAATTTGATCATTATTTATATTACATGTTTTAATTGTGAGAATTGTGTTTTTGTGACTGACCTAATTTAAGTGCTATTATTGTTCCTCACATTTTTTGTGCTGTTACATCTCAGAATTATTGACGTGAGATGTGCGATTCTAAAAATAAGGATAACTTGATGAAATTACTTTTATCTTCGGGTCCTTCGAGTAGCTTGGGCGTAGGTTTTAAAATAAATTTTTAAATTTCATTGTAAAACCATGTCATGTAAATATATAGTATTTTGCCTATAAATTTAATATTTAATCAACTTTGTAGTCTCACGGAACACCAACTTCCAGCGTAGAAAGCCCATTAAGCGATCATGGGGAAGATACCTGCTCTATGTTGAATACGTATTTGAATCAAATAAATGTAGCTGGTCAAAGTGTGAGTTAAAATAACTTTAATGCATTCATAGTGGTATTGCATTATTAATTTTTGATATTTATTATTTTATTATGTAATACGAAAAATTCAGAATTTTTAATATTGTAATAATGTGTTAATACATGGTGCGCGGTTAGAAAATTACATATTGTTGTTATGCATTGTAAGAGGCAAAATTTTACTTTATTAAATTTTAGGAAATGATGCAGCCATGGGAGAAAGTGCACTTTGATCATAATTATGCCAGATCTGGAAATGGTTCTTTTTATCACAGTCATGTGAGACCGACCAAAACACTTTTCATGTTTAAAAATCCACTTGCTGGGTAAGAAAGTTTTTTGAATAATGAAAAGTCTTTTCGCAATGTTTAAATTAATTTAATTTACAATGGGTCGTTTAGAAATCAAAATGATGAAGACATTGATGTTTCTACTGAAGTTTATTGTCCCACTCCTCCATATGATGTTGCAAAAGCTCATCAAGCGATGGAGGAATGTGAAAAATGTGTTTTCCAATCAAATGAAAATGACAACGAAAATGAGGATTGGGAAGAAACAATTTCTAGGTAATCATTTTTAAGCCCTCATGTTTATTTCAATTATTATTATTATTATTTGAAGTTTCATCACTGTCAATTTGTGTTTTGTGTAATTTCTTATGCATAAGTTTTTTTTTTTTATATAAAATATAAGTTATGAAAAAATTTATGTTTGAATTTTGATGGATTTTACTTCTTCATTTACATTTTTTTTCATCAAGGTCTGGGTGGAACAATTCTCAGTCGAATCTTTTTAATAAAATTGTTAAAATACTACAAGCAGACAGGTTAGCAAGGCTAGCAGTGTCTGGCAACAAAAATGAACCAGTGCTCAGACGATTAACCGTAGATAAGAGCGCACAAAGATTTAGGGAAACTTTGGGTAGCGTCATGTGGGATTCAAAGCTTTTACAATGGCTTCATTCGATAATGCTTGAAAATTTGACAGCAAGCTATCTTGCTGCATATTTAGAGATTTTGCAAACTCTCAAAAGCAAAGTTCACAGTCTCATTGAAAAAATGGTGGCAAACAGTGGGCAGCTCGCTAATAAAGCTTCCGTAGACACTGACGCTTTAAATCTTTTATTGAAAGAACCATGGGATCCTACTGCACCCAGTCTAACTCATCAAAAATTGGTAATTGTTAAAAATGCAAAAAAAAAATCACTTTTACACACACGCCATTAATTTTAAGCACACATTTTAAATATTTAAAAACAAATTAATAAGTAAATCCTAAATTTTTTGATTTGGAAAAAATTTTTTAATTTTTTTTTAGAGGAGACTTCCTGGCAATCCTATTATATTACTTTTACCATCCGGTGCAAAAAAACAGCAGTCTTCATCGAGAATGCAAGTTTGGAATAACTATTTGTCTAGTTTAGGAATATTAATTGATGTTTCATCTTCTTTAGGTTAGCGTTTTCGTATAATTTGTATATAAAATTAATGTCTTCAACGGTGTTTGTTTTTTCGTTCAGTTTACGCGTAGCATTGTTCGCTCCTTTTTTTGCTGGCTATATATTTTTAAAATTATATTTTCTTTTTTTTTTTTTTTTTTAGATCATATCAGCACCAAAATATCAACCCAAAGTTTTCTAACTCAAATGATCAAAAATACCAAAAATCGTTTAGCCGAAATAAAAATCGAATATCCACGAAGGCCGATAATACTTATGGGCTGGAGAGCCGGAGCATCGCTTGCTTGTCAAGTGGCCGTAACGGAAGTTGTGACCGCGGTAGTTTGCCTCGGGTTTTCGGCCAACACTGTCGAAGGTTACAGAGGGGAACCGGATGATTCTATATTAGACATACAATGCCCAGTTTTATTTGTGACTGGAGAAAACGCTCCACTGTCCAGGTTCGAAAATAATAATTAAACGTCTGATAATATAAATAAATCTCTCCTACGAATTTACTTCATGCTTAAAAAAAAAAAAAAAAAAAAAAAAAATTTTGCAGGCAGGAAGACTTGGAAGAAATAAGAGAGAAAATGAAAGTACAAACAGGTTTGCTAGTCGTTGGAAATGCGGATGAATGTTTGAGAATGGGTAAAAGAAGAAAGAGGTTGGAAGGAGTGACTCAAAGTATAATTGACAGATGCGTATTAGAAGAAATTGGTGATTTTCTAGCTGGAATACTGACTTCTCCGAAACCCCTTTTGAGTTCGAATGAATTACGAAGGAGTTCTTTTGCCAGGAGAAGACATAATTCTACAACAAGCTCGGTTGACAGTGAAAGTTCTTCTGCTAAAAGATCTCGTCCTGGTAAATATCCTTAAATGTAAAAAATATATATATATATTCTTTTCTCCCCTGTGAATTTTAAGAGTTAATAATTATTTACTGTAAATTTAAATACAATTTTTAAAATAGGTACTCCTCAACCTCAAATTCAGTCGAGTTCGGTAGCCGCAGCAAAAGTTCAAATTAACGGAAATGTAAAAGTAAGCTCAGCACGCAATGGATTCAGAGGCAGGAGACCGGGAAGTGTAAAATCCATTGTTATGAATCCTACTTTTCATTCGAGCCAGGTTTTTTTTTTTTTTGTTTATTTTTAATTAAAAATATTATTCAGTTGCGTATTTTATCGAGCTTTCAAATGATATCCCGAATTACAGGTTAGTAATTCTAATGGCGGAATCACTGTAAATATTGGTAATTTAGCCAGTTTGGGGCCCTTGGGCTCTTTGCGAATGGGTCCCAACGTTCCCGTGACAACGTCAACTAATTTAGCACCGACTCAAACGGTGTCGAAGGGAAACCCATCCGTGATTGAGGCAGCCCCGCCAGAAGAAGTAATGCCTCTATCAAGAGAAAATTTAGAAGGTTAAAAAAAAAAAAAAAAAAAAAAAAATTAACTATCGTTAACTATCTTTTTTTTTTTTTATTATTATCATTAAATGAATAATAATTTTCTGTAATTTTTTTTTTTTATTCTGTGGATATTTTATTTTTTTTTAGGTAATCAAAATATTTCAATTTCTTCAAATCGTTTGTTAGTCACTTCTTCGGGTGCAGGATCTACAAATAATTTTCAAAGCACTAAAAATAATTCATCGTGTAGCATTCGACTTTCGGTACCAGCTCAAACAGGGAGTAAGTTTTTTTTTTTTTTTTTTTTTTCAGTTTTTTCCCTTATTATCACATTAAAAAAAAAAAAAAACATCCAACCGATTCATTTTTTTTTTAATTATTACTTATATCTTTATAATGTAAAAATAATGCAAATTTTCATTTGTTAAAGTTTCTGAGGAAAAAAAAACGGGAAACCTAAGGCAGGTATTGGGCTCAACATCTAAGTTCACCGCGATGACTCAGTCGAATCGAGGAGGAACTACTCTGCAAATCCTGGATAAAAATGGGAAGCCGATGATTCAAAGCCGATCATCATCATCATCGTCATCGTCATCATCATCCGTACCTTCAGTTGCCCAATTGAATAACAATCAAACCGGAACGCGGCCGCAAATAAGATCTGTGCCTCGAAATCCGACTTCTATAAAAACTAGTCCGGGATCGGCACTCAGGGCTTCAAGTCCGGCAAGCAAAATGCAAAAATTTTCGCTTTCACAGAATCCAAGCAAATTCGTTACTTCAAACGGAACAAATATAATTCTATTAGAAAGCAATAGTGGTACAAATCGACCTGTTATCGTCCCGTATTCTAGTAAGAATCCTTTTGATAATTCTAAATCGAATTATTTTGACGAATAATTAATTCGCAACCCAATGAATCACAATATTATAATATTAACAGAAAAAGTTTATTTAAGAAAATGTTTGCTTAACACATAGATTACTTCGATGCGTGTTCAACCGATGTAAATAACCAATTATATAATTGTTTCAGCTTCCGTTTCGAAAAGTCAATTGAAGGCGAGTCCTCAAAAAATAACCAAATCAACGCCTCTCACTAAATTTTCAATGTCAAAAAAAATAATATCCACCAATTCTCTTTTACAACAAAGACCGGTCATATTAAGGACGAAATCTATAACAAATCACGGAGCAACAGGAACAAAAGGAAAATGTTTAAGAACGGATTTATCAGAAGGGGATTCGACCCACGGAGACCTAATAGAAATCCCCGTTTATTATGCAGAAAACGAAACGAAAAATGAAGAAGGAAAAACGTCAGACCACACACAACAACAACAACAACAACAACAACATAATACACCCGTAGTCATTCCTATAATTGACTCGTCAAAATCTAAAAATTCAAAAAGTTTTTATCCGAAAGATATTTCGTATACCGAAGATGGTGACTCGATATCGTTTCCACTAGATTGCGAAATTGAAGGAAACGAAGAGGAAGCGGGCGTTAAAATGTTTTTGGGATCTCTAAATAGGGTTGTTAAAGGTCCCCAGGTATTTGTTGCCAAACCGGGTGCCAGCGTCAATATAAAAAATGTTAAAACGCATTTACCGGGGAAAAAGACAGAAGGAGGAGAAGAAGTTTTAAATGAACACCATGGTGAATCATCGGTGAACGATAAAGAAGGGTCTAAATATTTGTGCAAGTATTTTCTTGTGTAATTAATTATTATTTAAATGTGATCGTTTTTAGTTTTTTTTTTTTTTCCCCCCTTTAAAATTTTTTTACAATGATCGAATACAATTTTTTTAGTTAATTATCTAAATAGTGGAGAAGATAGAGTTTTATACGAAATAGTCGAAGAAGAAAATTAAAAAGAAGAAGAAAATAATTTTTTTTTTTTTTTTCAATTGAATTCACACTCCTGCTTGGCTGCTGTTTTTTTTCTTTTAAATTTAATAAATAAATAAATAATCACGAGACAACATATAAGTTTGTTTAAGTATATGTAGGCAGGAAAACAAAATACATACATGTATCATCATTCATTATACATTTAACACTGGTTAGTATAATAAGTTCTTTTTTTTTTTTTTTTCTAAGAGTATTATATACACAATTTTATATATTACTTATTGATAAATCAATCGAGGGTGATTATATATAAATTTTTTTTCTTTTTTTTCAGATACATTAGTCGTTACGTTATAATGCGATAAATAATTATAAGTATTTGTTTCATCTGTTACACCGACATAGTAATCATGCGACTAAAATTAAAAACTAGGGGGGAAAAAAAAAAAAAAAAAAAAAAAAAAAAACGATTTCCATATGGAAAACTGAAAATTATAATCCTTTCCTCAATTTTCGAATTTTTTTTTTTTTTATTCAGGAAGCTGAATTTAAGTGTGTTTTAGTATTTTAAACTTTGCCTGATGCATTCATTGCACGAATTAAAAATTAATCGAATCTCGTCAAATTTCACATTTAATCTAATAACAATAATAATAATAATAATAATAATAATAATATTTTAATTAAATCAATTCTGTTAATCCGATTATTACAAATAATGAAATGAATTCGCATTCACGCAGTAATAATTATTTATACGAATTTCAAAAAAAAAAAAATATATATATATATATATAATTTTTTACTCGATTAATCTATTGTATTACTTTATTTTATTGTTCTTTTTTTTTTTTTTTTGATTTCATCGAAATTCGAATTCAATTTTGAAAGTTTATTAAAAAATATTCAAAAGGGGGGGGGGGGGGGAAAGTTTATGTAATCGAAATTAAAAAGAAACGGGAAACGTGTTTTGAAAGCTACCCTAACATTTATCATGTTTAATCTTTTTTTTTGTGAAAATTTAAAAATATATTATATGATATTAAATTTACTTACAGTTTTTACGAGTCGAATCCTTTAATTGTTAATATCAATGTTTAATATCATAAATCCCAATTTATCGCTGACTGCAACTTTTTTGTACCTAGAAAAAGAGAAAGAGTAAATAAATTTTAAATAAAATTTTTTTTTTTTTTTAAATTAAATTTTTGTAGTATTTTTACTTACCCTTTTAAATTAAAAGCAACTGAAAATACATTTTCTTTAAAATGAGAGGCGGTCGTCAGTATGAGTTTACATTTTTCTATATTAACTTGGTGATATTCAATGGTTGGCGAAAAACCCCAACTCGCTATGCAATCCGGTTGTATCCATTTGATGCCCGTTATTGAGTATTTTGTCTGAATTACAAATAACGGAGTCACCTTAAAAATTATAAATAAATAAAATTTATAAGTTATACTTCTTTTTTTTTTGAAAATTAATTATTCTTTAATAAAGTTTTATTTACAATTTTCGCCGAACTTATGTGAATTGTCCAGTCGCTTCCGCTGGAAGCAAATAAATCCGTTTGGGGAAAACAAGAGACGCAAGTTGCAATGCCAAAATGAGATTTATAATTCATTATTTTCGGATTTTTATAATCATCTGATGAAACGTTTCCATTCGCAACTGATTCAGAAGAACAGTGAATAACATTATTACCAGCAGCAACTATGAAGTCTGATTTTTTTTCCGGCCAAAAATCTATGGAGTTTACTTCCAAAAAACCAGAAACGACATCATTTTTCGAATCTCCTAAATGTATAGGTATTGCAAATCTAAAATGCATTACCTAATTTTAAGTAAAAAACTTGAATGAATTAATTTAATTATAGCCCCAGGATTTTGAATGTTAAATTACAAATGCCTATTCATTACAATCAGTGTTATTTTATTACAATTTTTAAAAATGAAAAATAATAGTTATTAAAATATATTTATATATAGAGAAAATATCTTGAAACACCTTTGGGAAATTTTAAAATATTAGCAAAAACAACAAAAACTCACTGATATGATTTATAGGAAAAATACAGGGCAAATGAAAATTTCTTTGCCCGCAGGTCGTCTACACTCCAACTGTTTTAAGGGGCAATTAAAAAAAAAAATTGAACATTAACATTTAAATTAAAATAAAACAGTGATTAAATTTACTTTTTGCGTTTTACAGAAAACATAAGAGAAGAAGTTGAAAGATCAAAAATAAATTTTTTGTTTCTCTCTTTTGAAGTACTTGTCATTATTATAACGAGATTGTGAAAATTTTATAAATATAATTTGTTTTTTTTTTATCTTCAAAATTTATAATTATTCATAAAAACCTGTTATCAATTTTAAATGTCAAACTGCTAACAACCACTTTCCAAAACATTATTTTCCCATCCCTTCCTGCTGTTACCAATTTCACTCCACCTTTATCTGTTTTCCAATATAAATGCCTCACAGCATCAGAGTGAAATATGTTTTTTCCATGAGTTTCAAGCTTAAACAATTGTGATTCATCATTATAGTTAATGTCCCATATAATAATTTCTCCTAAAATTAAAGTTACAGATTGAAATTAATAATTGAAAATTTTAAAGTGAAATAATAAAAGCAGTAAAATTTTTGTAACATACCATTTTGTAAACCTGCAGCAATGACAGAAGGAATAAATGGATGAAAAACTATGTGCTTCACACAGGAATGTGTTTGAAGAAAATAATCTGGTTGATTATTGTTTGTTTCCGATGAATGAGTTCTGTAAACACTTATGATGCTTTCATGATTACACCAGCTCTCGTGAGAACTTTTTGACATTCCGACAGCTAAAAGCATGCTGCTTGAATTCCAAGCTAAACTACTGATGATACAATCCTGAAAAGATAAATACAATCATGATAATTGTTACTATTGTGAAAAGCACAGTTTAAATACGGAATGACTTAATTAAATATAACAGGGGGAATCTAACTTTATTGTTTTCATTTGAAACTGAGGCATCTTGAAATCCAATAAATTTAATTTTTTTGAATTCCAATGTATCCGTAAATTCTGTAACCGGTTTCGGTTTATCATAAACGATATTTCTACCATAACTAAAAGAATCTGAAAGTGCCCATTTTAAGTACGGCCAAATTTCATTCAAAAACTTTGCCAACTTATTTGGATCATAAGACGTCTTCAGGTAATTAAATTTTTCAGCAGCAACTTGCACACCGATAGAAACCTTTTCACTAGTTTGATTACTTTTGTTTACTGATTGAGAGTTTGTAGTCTGATTTTCATTATTGACCAAAATCCTAAAAGATATTTACAATGAGTGCTTCAATTATTTTAAATATTTTTTTTGCAAGTATAAAAAAAAAAAAAAAAAAAAAAAAACTTAATGAAATGCACAAAAAATTTTTAATTTCAAAATGACGAATGTTTCCGAGTTCGACATAAAACTCGTCAAATTTTGCTTCTTCTTCTAACGTGTTTTTTTTTTTTTTTTTTTTAATTATCAAATATTAAATCTTATTATACAATTTCAAAGCAAAAATAGTAAAACTAAAATGAGGTTATCAAGAAAAGGAGTCGTAACCATTTAAGTGATTAATAATTTAAAAAAATAAAAAAAAAACATCATTTGGAGTCCGCAAAGGTCGATGTCATCCTACGGCGTAAAAAAGTGCAGAATAGAGTAATTTCATTTACGTAAATATAACAAAACGAATGAAAAAAAAAAAAAAAAAAAATTATTTTAAACAAAATTTTAATGAAACTTGCGGTTTTACATAGCACAATTTCAAAAAAATTTATAAAGAATTATATATCTACGCAAATTTATCTAAATTTATTGATAAGAATATATATTTTTTAAAATGCTTAACACCGTTCGTTTTTCACGTGAGAATCCAAGTTGAAAACCCCAAAGAAAGAATCGTTGAACATTTTAAACGACAAAAACAAATTTCTTTAGTTCGACATATTTAAATGCAAACAAACACGTTGAGTAAAGTAACGAAAATCGGTCTACTGACACGATAAAATTTTTATTTACAATGTGATTTTTTTTTTTCAATTAATAAAAAAATTTCTGTTCTTTTTATCACGAAGTAGTTTTCTTTTTGAAGACATTCTCATTTTGTAAAACGTATTTTTACAGTAAAAAATGTAAGAATCTTTTCGATACGACTTTTTCAACGTTACACTTTTTTTATACATTTAAATTTAAAACATCACATTTTTATATTTTCGATATCATACAGCATGAATATTGTGATTGAAGAGCAGGAAAAAATTGCGGTTAAGTTTATAAGTCGTCCCCAGCCGTAAGAATTATAAATCGTTTTTGTACCCGTTTTTTTTTTTTACTGCCGATTCTAAAACGCAGATTTAAATTTTTTTTACCGTATAAGCGTCTGATGTATAGCAAAAAAAAAAAAAAAAAAAAAAAAAAAGTACTTATCCATTATTCACACGACCATTTTTGTATCGGCCGTTATGTTATCGGCAATTTTAATGTAATAGCTAAAAAAAAAAAATTTAGTGTTTTTACTACCTTTTAAACATTTATACAATCGTTTCCAGTTGTGTTTTGTGTAATTTGGTGAATTCCTCTGATTCCTTAAAATAATAATAATAATAATATATTTTTTAAAAATGTTCATCTGACGTTTGATTAGAATTTTTTTTTAAAAATAAATTGTCTTCAATTACTTTCTAGTCCGATATAATGACTAAAAACAAAGTTTTTGAAATTATAAAAACAGTTGACTGTCATTTATTTGAGCTTCTCAATAGTTTGATGTGCTCTATATGGTAATTGTGATTGCATTATTCATTTAGAATTTACAATGTAGACGTTTTAATCAATTATGTTTTTTTAATTTTTCAGCCATGATTTATTATTGAAGCCACTATCAACTCCATGTGGACATTATTTTTGCAATGACTGCATAAAAACATTTTTGTTTGATAAAAACAACAGTGGTTGCCCACTATGTAAAAATCCCATTAAGATACAATCACTCAAAAGCAATAAGTTGAAGTCGAAACTTAGTGAAATTTGCAGAGTAATACCATCTGCATTTTTAAACGATGGTAGGAGTCATCAATTTATGAAATTATGCTTCTTTTTTTTTTTTTTTTCTTTTAATTGTGATGAATTATAATTTGCTTTGGTTTGTGTTGTACAATATTATTTTCAAATTCAAAAGATGAGATATTTTTTATATTGGTTTTTGTCTCTCACTTATAATTGTAATATTTTTTTATCAACTCTAAGAAAACTGATGTATTCTAAATTTTTTAATGATTTTCTTTTTGCAGAACAAAGTAACTAATTAACTGTGTTTTAGTATGGTTGAAAATTTTTAAGTTTTCATTTCATTTACAAAATATTTATGCATTGCTACCTTTTTTCTATTTTGAATTTTTTTTATTTTTGCATAGTGCTTCACTTGACCATTGACATAGAAAAGTTTTTTTCTTGGCATGAAAGCTCTTATCCTGCATGAATTTTATTTTTAAAATGAGTTTGTGTTAAGAAGTTTTTTTTTTGTTTTTAGTGAAAGATTTAAACGATTTATTAAACATTGATACTGAGGATGATGTAAAAACCTTAAAATTACCCTCGGTTTTTTATCAAAAAAATGATAGTGGTAAAAAACAGGGTAAATATTATGAAAGAAAAGACATTCGTAAACACACAAAACAAAAATATGATGATGCATCATCACTTGAGAAGACGGAAAATCTGGTTTCGGTCGTTACAAAAAACGGCGAAACATCTTTCTTAAAAGGCGAAATATCAAATGATACCTTGCCATTCAATGCATGTGCGTCAGACGTGAAACGCAATGCTTTTGATACCTTAAAAGCAAAGAAAACAGATGATGAAATCGAAAAGGACGCCAGTATAGAAAAAGTAAATTCAATCGGTCGGAAAAATGTTGAAAACGATTTTAGGAAAGATTCGAAAAAATCGAAAAACGATACCGGAAAAATAAAAAATGAATCGGAAAACATCATCATTCATTCTCAAAATGCAGGTTCGGATTCAAACAAAAGCAATGTCAAAACTTCATCCATGATAAGGATCGACTACCATAAATCGGATAAATCTCAGGGAAAGGTGTATAGAAATTTTAAAGAGAAAATGCAAAAAAATACGCATTCAGACGAATTTACTTCAATTCGAAAATTCAACAACAAAAATTCGTCGAAAAAAAAATTTTCTCCCAATCACGTGGAATGTGGTGAGTATAAAAAAAAAAAAAAAAAAATACGTATTACAAATACAAAATTCATTTTCCCATACTTAAAATAAGAATTAAAAAAAAAAATTATAGAAACTGGCAAGTCAACGGATTCTTTCGATCAGCATGATAAGGAAAAAAATCCAAGTGTTATCAAAAAAATATCTGAGAAATGTTTCTCAGGAACGAGGGAGGAAAAAGGAGAAAATGATCAAAATAGTAATGCGGCAAACGTTTTCGTAAAAAACCACGAAGATTTTAATGAAAAAAATTCGCGGTCGTTAATCCACGTTCCTAATTTTGAATTCGATGACGATCGAAACAGGGAAACGTTGGGGAAAAAAGAAAAGGTCGGTGGTATATATAATGACGAAACGAAAAATAATATCATGAGTTCATCGTCATCACATTTAGATTTTGAAAATTTAAAAAGTCAAGAAGCGGTGGAAATAGAAACATCACTGGATGATTACCTAAGACGGAAATCGTCGGAAAAAACACTCGGTGAAAAAAAACAGGAATGTATCGCCGTCAAGACCACAAAGTTGATGACCCTACTGGAAGAATTGATGAAAGGTGAAAAAATTAATTCGAATTCAACATTTTCGCGAAATTCGTTCAAAGATAAGGTAAGGGATTTGAATGCGGTAAATGAAAATACAATTCACGGCAAAACCGAAACTTCACTCGATAATCACACGTCTACGAGTAACGTAAATGAAAATGTTGAAACGAATAGAAAAACTTCAAAGCCGATCGAAGGGAATAACGTCCGATTAGAAATTTCTAATGAATTATCTCAATCTTACGGCGACGACTCGTTTCGAAAAAATTCATCGGAATACAATAGCAAAGTCGATAATAAATTCACAAACGATTCATTTGAAAATTCACAAACGAAATTTGGAACGCCGTCATACGATTTTTTTAAAAAAATTTACGGAAACGAGTCATTTTTCATAAGTTTCCTCCAGCTCGGCCGTTTGACTCCGTCAAACAAAAGATCGAAATCATCCGTTGTAAAATTAGTTTTTCCCCTGGGGTTCAATTCGCTATTTAAAAAGAGAGCGGCGTCATTAAAAAAAAAATCCATGAGTCCCCGCATTTCGGAAAATTCTCGGGAAATTTCAGATACGAATCGAGGAGTTGTTAAAGCGTCGGCAATCGCTCAAATATCGCCTAATTTTAATTCTGTCGAAACTCAAACAATTCAATCCCCGTCTTGTTCTCCGCGAAGGAGCGATTTTGAAAAAAGGATCGAGTTTTTCGATGAGACTCTCCCGAATCGTCCAAAATATTCCGTTCGAAAAAGTAATAGTATTCATGAATGTACCGATAAAAAAAATGATTTTTTCTCTGTCGCCGGTAAAGAGGAGTTCTCGCGAAAAACGAAAAGTGAAAAAATTGTTACGGGTAAAAAAAGAAATTGCCATTCGCCCGAACGAGGCTCCGTTCCCTCGAAACATAGAAAAATGGAAGAAATAATAAAAAAAAGTGAAAATTTTGAAAAATTACAATCCGAAAAAATGAATTCGGTCGAACGCGTTTCCTCAAAAAATTTATTTAAAATTGAAATTCCCCCGTCGTACAAGTTCAAGGCCGAAACCAACGTGAACGAATCAAAAGACATTTTTCGTGCGGAGGAAAAAAGTCTAGACGAAAACGTTTTTTCCAATTCTACGAAACAAATGATTTCTCTTAAAAATAATAATAAAATTAACGAGAAAATATTCAATTCGAAAAAATATATCGACGGTGGAGCAGTCGAAAGACTCGTCCCGGAAAAGAATCGAGGAAATGATTTTGGAGTAGCAAACGCGGGTACCATTGAAAAACAAAGAATAAAGGAAAATGAAGGAAACTGTAAAGCAATCGTCGAAGAGAATGAAAAAACTGACGACGAATCCGATTCTGATTTTTTCGTCGAGCAAACTCCTCCAAGGTGTAATTATTTAAACCTCGACGAAAATAAATTACACAAATCCCGTTCGTTTAATAAAAATTCTAGTATTTCGGAAAGTTCAAAAACGAAATCTAAACTTAATGGGAAAAAATTATCGGACGCGGAAAATTCAGATTTTGGTGTCGTCGGTCCTGTCAAATCCTCGTCCAAACTCGAAGAAGACGCGAGTAAGGGAACAACGGAAAAGTCCGCCGTACAAAAATCAAATTTTAACAACATGAAATACGAACGTCAATCAAAAGGATATGATAATTTTCGAGTTTCTTTTTGTAAATCTCCCGCGAACGAGGGATCCGAAAAAGAATATTGCATAGTTGCGAGCAGCCTGAAAAATCCGGATACGGTTAAAAAATTCACGTCAATGTTCGACGTGAAATTTTCGGAGAAACCAACGAAAAACATGACTCATCTCATCGTGGGCATGCACGAGAGCGAAGATGGAGAAATCCTACCACTTTGCACTCCGAAATTCCTGTACGCCTTGGCCAATAAAAAGTGGATCGTGAGCGAATCTTGGGCGGAAACATGCATAAAATATAAGACCATAGTTTCGGAAGAATCATTTGAAACTTGCGATCCAATCGGAGGACCGGGATGTCGAAACGCGAGACTTTCCAATGATAAACTTTTCAAAAATTGTGAAATACACTTATTTGGAACTTTTGAAAACATATCCAAGGAAGAATTATCTGTAAGAATCGCACATGAGAAATATTTATTATGATTTTCCGTTTTTCTTTTTTTTTTTTAATTAAATAAAACTTTTGTTTGTTTGTCAAGGGTCTTATATTGGATTCCGGAGGGAAGTTGGTGTCAAAACCAGAGAAATTTTCATTTTCTCCTCAAGTAATACGAATGATAATAGCGGACAAAGATTGTTTAAATTTGAGTCCGACCGAATTAAAAGGTGAATATTTATTTTACGAGTATTTTTAACAAAAATGTCCTGCGTCACGAGATACGTTCGTTAATTAAATTACAATAATAATAATAATAATATTTTTCAGATATGTTTGATAAATACAAGACGGTGATATTATCAAGAGACCTGATAATAATGTCAGTTCAATGTTACAAATTAAGTAATTTTTATCCTTTCTTATTGCATTTTGCGTCGAATGCAAACCTTATTGAATTCGGTTACCCGGAACATCTTTTCGCGAGATAACGCGAAAATTATATATATATATATATTTTTTTTTATACGTCCATTCAGTGTACATATACATATATAATTTTAAGTTGTTAAGTTTTTTTTTTTTTCCTGTCACGCATTGCTTACATTTAGTGTGCGTATACGGGCACAGAACCGGAGTTTTTTTTTGCATTTAATTAATTTTGACGTCCTTTTTTCTGTAATTTAAATAATAATAATAATAAATAATATGTTTGTTTAAATATATATATATACACGGGATTAAAAGTTTTAAGTTACTATATACATTCTTTGAATTACAAAAATAATTTTTTTTTTTTTACGCAAAACAATTACATATATATATTATTTAGAGTCTTTCCCACGTTCGTATATGAAAATAATAATAATAATATCCGAATTTGGAAAAAAAGAAGAAGAAGAAAAAATTAAATATTGAAATAAATAAATAATTCCAAATGTGCCTTTTAAACGCGATTTAAAAAAAAAAAAAATTAATTTATCCATTATTAATGTTTTTCCTTTAATATAAAAATTATTAATTCAAAAGGTAAAATAGAATTCAACATAATTTTAGATTATTCATCACGAGGTTAATTTTAATTTGCGTCAATAATATCAAGTATAAATTTAATGTTGAAATAACGATTGGTTAAAAAAAAAAAATTTTTTTCACATTTTTTTCCCCTTTTTTTTTTTTTTTTTTTTGTAGAAATTAAAAAAAAATATATATTTTTGTTTTAAATAATTAACTTAATTATTATTATTTAATAAAATTGTTATTATACCGTCATTCTATTAGTTTTTTCTTTTTATAATAATTTCTCCTGACACACGTGTTTATTATTGTTATTAATTTCCTTTCTTTTTTTTTTAATGAAAAAAAAAAAAATAAGTTAATGAACTCATAAATAATAAATAAATAAATAATAAATTTGTTAATTAGATTTTTTTCTTTTTTTGATTTTCATAAGGTACGCTCCTGATTTGAAAAAAGAAAAAAAAAAAAAACTTTAGTTTTGTCCCAGTAATGATTTTAAGAAATGTTTTGACGAAGCAAAAAAAAAAAGACAAAATCTCAACGTCGGTGAAATATTTACGGCAAAGAAAACCTATTTTTTTCTTTTTTTTTTTTTTTTCTTGTTGTGCAGATGCCGGATTCGCCGCGGTTAGCATAAAAAAAAATCCGATGATGACAACAAAAAAAAAAAAGAAAACAATGTTTTTGTCACTACAAGTTTTTAACTAATGTATGTTTTGAGTAAACAAACGGTTTAACATTTGATTTGAATTTGCAAAAAAACTATTAAAAGAATTGGCCTATAATAATAATAATAATAATAATAATAATAATAATAATGGCGGCAGGCAGTCTTCTTTCCCCCCATTTTTTTCAGGTTCGCGCCTTTTTTTTTTTTCAACATCGTAAATGAATGAAAAATTTATTTTCTCAACGGATCCCTGAACATAAATGATTTAAAATATTTATTTTTTTTTTTATGCGGGCGTGTGTTTTGCCCTCTGAAAGAATAAACAACAAAACCTCGCGGTTATAATTATTAATTAAAGTAATTTTATTTACAAAAAAAAAAAAAAAAAAAAAAAAAAAGGAAAAAAAGTTTTCTTGGATTTTCTAGCCTTGAAAGGTGACACCCATCTACCCTAGTAATACGTCTATCCCGCGTTTTTACTTAAATGGAAATGCTATCATGTTCCTGGCACCCCTTTTTTGGCACAAGGAGTAATTTAAATCCAATATTGACTTCAGCAGAAAAAAAATAGTTTTTCGTGAGATTTGTAAACCACGTGATTGTGTAATTTTTTTTTTTTTATCCCGGGTTTCACATGAATAGTTACAACACAAGTAATTATGGCTGGCTGAAGGTAGTCAAATTACCTACACAGACACTCCATTGTTCAACATTTACCACTTTGGATTGATTATAAATTTTTTTTTTCTTTTCTAAAAAATCCTTTTCCTTAATTAAAACATCAACCCCCCATACGTAATTATTATTATTGTTTTTTTTTTTTTTTTTTTATACAACCTGCCAATAACAATATATATATTTAAACGAAATAAATAACAAATGAAATTAAAAATAAAATTTTAAATATAATATTTTATTAAAATAATTTAATAATGTACAAATAATAATAATAATAATTATTTACAAATGAAAATTAAAATATTTTAATTATAAACTTATAGCAACTGTGTGTCTGTGTGTTATTTCTTTTTTTTTTTACACTAAAACATATTTTATTAAATTAGTAATAATTATTTAGTACGATTATTATTATATTACGTATTTTTGTTTTTTATTTCTCAATGCGATTCTTATTTATAAATATAATAAGAAGTTTTTAACTTGCACCGAGTTATTTAAACTAAAACTAAATTTTATTCTCATCGATATTGATCGGGGGGGGGGGGGAATTAAAATTTATCTAATTCTCTTAAAACTAATTTTTTTAAAAATTTAATTATTATTTATATAATTGTTGCAATCGTGAGTGGTGATGATACATTTTCATAGAAAAATTTAAAAACTTTAAATTCATAAAAGAAATAAATTTTTTAACTTGTGACAGGTACGAACGACAATTTCCAACCTGATTTTGTAAACATTTTTTTATTTTACTTTTTTTTGCCACAATAACAACTACGACGACGACGACGGCGACGGCGACGACGACAACAACAACGACATCAATAACAAGAACAAGAACAACAACAACAACAATAACAACGTTCAGTAAAAACGAAAACGATATCCTTACGTCGAAATTATATATATAACTATATATAATTCTTAAAAAAAAGAATAACAGTAATAATAAATGGACCACGTGAAAAACCACCGTGAATGGGGCTCAGAATATTAATTTGATCGCTATCCTTTTATTTGTTCCTGTTGGATTGTTCTCGGTTTTAAATTTAATGAAAATGTTGATGGTGGCAAAGCAACGCAAGCCGGTTGAAAATGTATCGATGATAAATCACTGCAACTCACATTGTAATTTTGCAAAATGGTTGCCAATAGAATAAACGAAAATCCTTGGACCTTAAATTTTAAATAAATCGTATTTTCAATTTTTCCGATTTTTTTTTTTTTTTCATATTGCAAAAAGAAAAAAACATGGAAAAAAATATTTTTATAGAACTTACCAATCTCTGTCCAATGCAAGTTCTCTTTCCTGTGCTGAAAGGTATGAAAAATTCAGGTTTCATTATTTGATTGTTGATAATAAATCTCTCGGGTTTGAACTTTTTAGGATCGCTCCAATACTTTTCACCCGTGTTGAGCTCGTAATTGTTGAGAAAAACAACGCTGCCTTTCTTTACAAAGTAACCTGTAAAAAAAAATTTGACATTTTCAATTTTTTTTTTTTTTTTAATAATCTTTTCCACGGTATCGAACAAGATTCACTTACCCTCGATCATTGTGTCCTGATTAGCGACGTGTGGAACTATGGGAGAAGAAGACATCCTGAGCGTTTCGAGAATGGTGGCCTCCGTGAATGGCATATCCGGTTTGTCGAACAGATCCACGGGACGACAATTTCCAACCACTCTGTCGATTTCTTCCTGTATTTTCGTACCGACTTCGGGATTTTTAACGATGCCGGCTAAAGCCAACATAACTAAATTTCCTATGGCCGAATGCCCACCGAGAAAATCTTCCAATTCGAAAATGATGTGTTGCCAATTAAGGAGTTCGTCTTCTTCCAAATGTAATAGTAATGCATCTGTGAAATCTCTAGGCGGTGCGTTAGGATCCAAAGTACTGCGATGATGATCGATGATGCGTGATAAAATAAACTGCCTAATATCTTTAGACCATTTAGAGAGGCGGTTCATGTGTCTATTGTAAAAGGGCAAAAGCCAAGGTAAGAAATCCACGGCGTACCTGTGATAAAAAAAAAAAAAAAATTCAAACATCATATCAGTAGTATGTTATCTGACCATTTATAGTTAACGGCAACAACGACGCCGACAGCTTTCTCGCTTCATAATAATAATAATAATGAAACGCAAAAAAAAAAAAAAATAATAATAATAATAATAATAATTTTTTTATTTTAAAACGATATCGAATAAATAAAACTGTAAAGTGCATTCGCCCCAAACAGTCTAGCATTATGGCTCATGCGTCCGTCGGCAAAGGCCTACATAGTAATAATTAAGTGTGCTATAAATTATAATTTTTTTATTTCGATCTACTTATTTATTGATGCGGTTGCAAATAATTTTAACCGATGGACAAAATTTAACAAATTTTTTTACTAAAGCCTTTTTTTTTTATTGCCTTAAAAAAAAAAAACTTGTATAAACGCAATACGATTAAATAAAATTTTTCCTGTGAACACACACACGCGCGCATGTATATATATATATATATATATATATATATATATATATATATATATATATATATATTTAAAAACTGAACAAGTAAAAAGGGGGGTGGGAGGTGGGGGCTAATTAAGAATACTATTCGCATATCAAAAGCAGAAATTTCTCACATAAAGAAAATTATCCTACGAAGTAAATTTATTTTTTAGAAAAACCCCGTTAAATCCTTGTTTTAAAATTAAATGTTAATTAACCTACCCCTGATTTATTTCCCAAAAAATATTATCGAAAAGAAGAACGGTTTTTGTAAATTCTTTATCGTCGTAATTGAACCTAGTGGAACACATGTAACTGGTAAACATATTGGCACACGTCGCCATTATCAGAGGTTTCAATTCTACATCGTGACTTTTTGTCGTGATATTGGAAAGTTCGCAAATAAATTCGTTCATTTCTTGAAGTCCCACTTCTCGGAGGCGATCGTAATTTGTCGAAGCAAAACGCGGAGAACAATACAGACGAGCGATGCTCCTTCTGGTTTTTTGCAAATCCGCCCAGTCGCATAGAGCCAAAGCTGTAAAAAAGAAAAAAAAAATTATAATTTGTCCTTATATTAAAAATGTAGTCAATTCTTCAAAATGTGGAATGATTGTAACGCGCACTGTTGCCCCTCAAAAAAAAAAAAAAAAAAAAAAAAAAAAACGAGATAATTACAGTTGGGACACAACTCACGTGTACAACGATTGCACCAAAGGAAAAAAATGTTTTATTTAAAACGTCATAATTTCCATTGAAAAAAATTTATCTATCAATAATAATAACATTGATGATGATGACGATGGTAATACGAAAAAGGATTTTTAGGTAATGGAAATGTGAAATGTTACCAAAGACGAGACAACGAAACGAAAACTTTCATTAAACTAGAGTACGTAGGATGCAGGTCGATAAAGATCCGGTAAAAATTTATCAAAAAAAAAAAATTTTTAAACTGGAAACGGTAAAAAATACAACAAAATAATAATAATAATAATAATAATAATAATAATAATAATAATAATAATTAAATATTGCTACACATATCTATCTATCTATATATATATATATATATATATATATAAATAAAAATAGTGTTTAAAAATACATTGGTGAACCGACAGGTGGATGTAGTTCAACTTCATCGACCTTGACCGTTAAGCATATTGTTAACAAAACGCGCGCAACCCTCTTTCTATCATTTTATTTTTTTTTTCTTCTTGCTTGACCTCTTGCCCGTAAATAACCACAAATATTTTTTTTACCCTACGTCAATATGTCCCCGGTTGAAACTACATTTATCCGGAGCAGGTAGTGTCTTAAAAAAAAAAAAAAAACAGTGATCAGGTTTGCTTTTCAAGGTTAGTTAACAATTATTTATTGCAGATCAATCTACCAATTTATTCATATTATTTTCAAAAATCCATGGTTTATATATATTTTTTTTTAATTAATAGTTTCCTATTTATTTATATTTATATTTATTCTACACGGAGCCTAGAATACATAAAAAAAAAAAATTAAGAAATTCCTATTAAATCTATAACCAAATATACATTACGTAACAATTATGTGGAAAAAATTATGTTTTAAATATTAAAAAAAAAAAAAAAAACGGTTACTTTACTTTAATAAAAAAAAAAAAAAAAAAAAAAAAAAAAAAACATTAAAAGAAAGGAAAAGTGAATTTAGAGTATAATGATGATGATAATAATAGTCGGATCCACCCCATTGAAAGTGTGGGCCCGAAGGTGACCTTTTCTTTTTACTCTACAATTAATAATAATAATAATAATAATAATAATAATAATAATAATAATAATAATAATATTTGAAAGAAAAAAAAAACGAGTACCGTTAAACCAACTTTAAAATTTTATACTCTTACGTCATTAGATGTATTTAAATTCACATTTTTTTTTTTATTATAATGTTTAATCGGAACCAGAAATTTTTAAATAAAAAAAAAAAAAAACTCGTAAAAAGCAAAAATAAATAAATAAATAAATGCGTGTTATTAATTCTAAACTTTTTTTTTCCCCTCTACAAAATTTAATTTTTTGTGTGTGAGGAAAACATTGTTTTTATATTTATTTATTCCCGCGTTATCATTTATCTTTTGTTTTCAAAACTCTTTCTACTACAATACCAAAGTTTTTTTTTTTTTTTTTTACAAAAAAACATAAAAAGTTTACAAATATTTTTAAAACAATCAAACTCAAAAATTGTCGAATATACAAAAAGAAAAGAAAAGAAACTAATCCAAGAGTAAATTTTTTTTTTTTTTTGGAACTAAAACAATAATTTCAAAACTTTTTTTTTTCTTTTATAAGAAACGCTTAACGAACTTTTACAAATACACGATTCCGAGTAGTCTGGAATGAGTTCATTTTTCAACGTATTCCGAATAATTTTAAAATGTTGCAATTTTATTAACGTAATAATAACGCGATCGATTCCAATGCATTCACCACCTTTTTTAAATATACATATATAAACGTGTCTGTTTTTTCTGGTTTTCTAATTTTAAATTTTATTAATTTTCAACAAAAAAAAAAAAAAAATACCCGTAACTTTTTCATTCTTAACGATGTTAAACGATAGAAAAAAAAAAAGCTCCCAATGATACGAATGGAAAATTTTTAATTCTATTCTAATGAAATAAATATTATGTGGATTCGAATATATGAATTTTTTTAACTTTTGCAAATGCGAAACGTTATTTTATTTTTTTATCACCAAAGAAATCCATTTTTTAATATATATATATATATATATATATATATATATATATATATATATATATATATATATAAATAAATTAACAGTGCATTCTTGCACGGTTTTAACAAAATTAAATTACTTTCTCTACCGTGAAAGTTTTAAATAATAATAATAATAATATTATTATTATTATTGGAAAATATACATACAAAAATAAGAATGCGATAGCGAAAAATCACGGGAGGGAGAGGAAAAAAAATAATCGAAAAAAAAAAAAAAAACCCTAAATTCAAATCGTACGAAAACAATAATAATAATAATAATAATAATAATAATAATAATAATAATAATTAAATATTCTTACAATTATTTCTATCGCCGCCAAAAAGTTTATGAAACCTTATAAAATCTGGTCTTCCACCAAAATGTCCACCTTTGGATATGAGAACTTTTTTTATAAGATTAAAGCTGTTAACTACGACGCAAGAACTCGAACCCAGAGTTATACTGTAAATGCTACCGTAGGTTTTAGAAAGTTTTGTGAATACTTGAAAAGGACTCGAACTGCCTCCCATCAAATGAAGACTTCCGATGAGAGGCCAAGGTCTCGGTCCCGGAGCTATTTCTTTAAATTTTCTAACGCTTTTCAGGCGTTCCAATCCGGAAAGCACGAACACAAGAAAAACGGTCACGGAAAACGTTACAAGAAAAAACATGATTATTATTAACGCGACACACACACGCACTCAACACACATATACGACGCACACAGTGTCGGATGCCAAAGCGAGAACAGAACAACAACCGACCCGACGGACTGCACGGTTTTTAAATATTATGAATATTTATTTTTTTTTTTTTTTTTTTGTTGTTACCTGCTACCTCTCCCTGCTACTTATCGATACCCCTAAACCATCCCTTCGGCAATCGCGAGTTCTTTTTCGTTCTCGGTAATCTAAGCATGAACAACGTCCGAGTTGGCCGTTTGACCAATGCCGTACTCGTCCCCTTACCTCGTCTCCCCACCAAAATACCTGTTACATTTCTAACAGATATGTCAGCTGATGTTAAACAGTATCTAAACGGTTGTGATTTACCAGCCTTTTTTTTCTTTTTTTTTCTTTTCTTCTTTTTCTTTATATTCTTATTTTTTTTTCATCAGGTATGCTTTATATTCTTATTTAAAAAAAAAAAAAAACAAGTTGGATCGCTGACTAAAAAAAAAATTTTTTTTTTTGTTTAATCTCGTATTCGGTAGATTTCCTTAGTCGGTATATACCTCGGACGAACGATACTTGATTAAAAAAAAAAAAAAGACAAACAATGCAATTCATTGCACGCTCAATAATAATAATAATAATAATAATAATAATAATAAAATTATTTCCCTTAATTATTCAATTTTTTTAAAAATGCATTTTTTTATTTTGAATTAGTATCACGAATTTTAATCGTTTTAATTGGAAATAAAAAATTAATTCTGACTAATTTAAATTCTCATCTTATAGAAAATGTTGTGATGTCGATGAAGATGATGATGATGATGATGATAATCCGGCAGAATATAAAAAGTTTGAACGGTGAGTAAATATTTTTATATTTACGAACGTTTAAAATTAATTATTCAATTTTTTTTTTTTTTTTTTTTTAAATACTTGTAACGTGATTTACGCATATGTACAAATGTTTTTTTTTATATTTTATTTTTAACTTTATCTAACGTTTATTATTTAAACTTACTTAAAAATAAATAAAATGATGTTAATAATACTCTTTTATTATTACCGCGGGAAAAAAAATTATACAAAAAAAAAAATCAATCAATATTGATTGATCGGCTTTTTTTTTTTTATGTGTATATATATTTGTGTTTTATTATTATTATTATCATCTATTCTCTCCCCTTCCGAGATAATAGATCGATTGAATTGAACTGAATCGTAATTTTAACCTTGTTCAGTAGGGCACATTATAAAAACAGGACACAGATAAAAAGAAAGAGAGAGAGAGAGAGAGAAGAGGGATGGAAGGTAGAGAGAATAAAGAAAATCCCAAGTTACATAAACGTCTGAAAAACAAAACAAAACATAACATTATTCTAACTAAAACACAACAAACCCATTATCATAACTTTAACGCCGTTTCGTAATCGGGATAAATTATTAAAAACTAAAAATTTAGAAAAATCTGTCCCATTTCGGAAAAACATTTTCCGCCGTTGAAAATTTTTAAAAAATTTCAATTTATTCAAATTTTGCTTAAACAAATGCTTCTATTGTTGTCGATTTTCTTGTTATTTTTATAAATTTTTACTTATGTAAAAAAAAAAAAAAATTAAATTTTCACGTGAATATAAGGGAATATCATGTTTTTACAAAAAAAAAAAATTTTTTTTTTTTTTGTTAAAAATATAATTAATTGTTTTTTTCGGATTCGAAACGGATTCGAAAATCATTGAGTTTCTCTCTCTCTCTTACTCAGTAAAAGTTATTTTTTTCAAGTTTTTAAACAGTTTTATCGGATAAAATTAAAATAAATAATAATTAATTTCAGTTATACTTTTTGCTTCCGAAATAATATATATAGAAATTAATTTGGGGGATTTTAAATGATAATTATCAATCATTGATTGAATATGGTGATTTTTTTTCCCTCGAAACAAAATCTTTTGGAAATTAATAAAAAATCGTAATGAACAACAATATTTTAATTCCATTGACGTGAAACCCCAAAGATTTAATAAAATCCATTGTAATGTTTGTAAACATGTCTGTCGTCAAGCACGTGTTGTTAAAAATTATTACTACTTTTTTTTTTAAGAAAAATTATGAGGAAAATGATGCTAAAAAAAAAAAAAAAAAATTCATATATGAATGTTATGAATGTTAGTTTTAAAAAAAATCCCTTTAAAAAAAGTGATTTTATTCCGGAAAAGATTTTTATATTTAAAATTATGATGATGATGATAATGATGATGTTTTTGTCGTTCAGTAAAAGTTTACGTAAAAAAAAAAATAGTATAATAAATGTACTATAAAAAATTTATCATTTAAATAACGTGTTATATTTTTTTTTTTTTACGTAATGGCATAAAATTATTATTATTAAAAAACAAATATTCTGACAGCCGTAAATTCATTTTTTCTTTTTTTTTTTTGACTTTATTTGTAAAAAAAAAAAAAAAAAAAGGAGAAAAGAAAAAAAACGAATCCACTGAAACAGCAATTTATTTTCTTTTCTTTTTAATAATGATTAAGGATTTATCAAAATATGCTCTCGAAACAAAAAAAAAAAAAAAAGAAAAAAAAATAGTAGTAGTCAGATTTTACTCGAAAATGCTAAATAAAATTTTCATTATGGCAAAACAATATAAAAATAAATAATAACTGATTGTGATTGCATGCGAGATTTTTAGATTTTTTAAAAATGCTTGGATTCACTGAAACAAATCATACTTTTTTTTAAAAAAAAATCAAAGAGTTCTCCCCATCCACCCTCCTCTCAAAATAAAATTATTGTAAAAATGAAATTAATTTGGCATGGAAACCACGAGTAAAAAAAAATTAATTTAAATAAAATTTTTCTTAGCATCAATAGTAATTTACACGAGAGAGAGAGAGAGAAAGATTAAATAATAAATAAATAAATGAATTGATTCAATGCATTTCTGATGATTGGTCAATGAACACCACAAATTCTGTCATCTAATTAATTAGGTATGAAATCATTCGAATGTAAAAATATTATTCAAACTTTAAAAAAAAAAAAAAAAAAACATTGTGCCAAGTATTTTTAATTTTATTTATTGTACGGTAACCTTTTAAATATTTGTCGGAATTATTAAACATCTACGATCGCGAGCTTTTTTTTTTTCATATTTTGGAAAATATAATTCAATTATCCTTTATTTAAAATAAATAAATTAAGACCGTGAATTTTTATTTCTACCCCCACCCCCCACCACGCTTTTATTAAAAACATTTCCTTTTTTTTTTTGGTTACGTAATGAATTGTGTTAGTTTTGTTCCGAGTAAAAAAATTATATTTAAATTTTTATATATTATTTTACATGACATCGATGTCTCCTACGTCAAATTTCTTATAAATATTTAAAAAAGATGAACTTGCATAAGTATGGGAGGGAAAAAAAAAAAAAAACAGGGAATAAATTTCGGTTGCGTTTTTAATGGCCTTGATAGGAGCGATATAGGAAAAGGTTTTACAAAACCATTATTATATAATTGTATATCCGATATTTCCTTTAAAATAATTCTGAAAAATGATTATAATTAATTGTAGCAGAGAAAAGGCTGAAATACGGAAAGTTGAAAATAGAAATAACCCGGGGGGAGCAATATTTGAAAAAGATTTTAATGAATTTAAAATAAGAAACGCGGGACTGGAAATTGCGGAATGTGGGTGGGAAGGCCCACATTCTTCGGAAAATATTATAAATACCATCATTGATATTCGAGAATTTATTTCTAAGGAATCGAGACCTGGAATGAATGTTTAAAATAAAAACTTTGACAAGTACACAAAATCTTGTCGCGTTCAAAAGTGAAAATGTTAATAATAATAATAATAATAATAATAATAATAATAATAAGGTAACGACTACTGGAGGGAAAAAAAGGAGGATCTTTAATCAGTTTAAAAGTAAAAATTTGAAAATATGAAATTTCGGTCAATGAAAATGTACCTGAACTTCCGAGTGCACTTGAATTAATTAATCACAAATTTACACACACAAGTAAAGTAATAATTATTTTAAACGTAATTTAAACATAGCAGAAAGTCGTGGATTTATTTCGGAAAATTAATTTCAGTTCACGAGATTCGCCCTGATTAAAAATGATGACAATAATAATAATAATAATAATAATAATAATAATAATAATAATAATAATATGAACGTTCTAGAAAATCCGCAGCATTTAGAAAAAATTTCATTTTATTCCCATATACAGATAAAGTTTTTTTTTTTTTTTTTTTTTACGATTTATATATCAGAAATTCGTTGAAGGATGGAAAAAGTTTTTGGCATAAAAAAAAAAACAATAAAATTTATTATTATTATTTTTTTTTGTTAATGGTATCCAAATTCGAGGATCGGTGATTTTTGTGAAGAGGTTATTGACAGAGAAAGGTCAAAGAAAGGAAGTATACTGGTGGCAGGAGTCCAACTGCACCTATAAATTACAAATGGCACGTTCGGGGATACTCTTAAATAATGAATTTCAAACAACCGTTATCATCAAAAAAAAAAAAAAAAAAAAACAATCCTAATCACTTACGTCCTTCAGTATCATACTTTTACATTTTCATTTTTATAATATTTTTATATCTTTAAATAATTTGAAATTTTTTTTGTAAAAAATAAAATAAGTAAATAAATTAAAAATTTTCTATGAAAAAATTCATCATTACGAAAATAAAAACAAGGGAATATAAATTATCGTTATTTATTTTCACTTTTAATTAAGTCGAGTCGGAATCATTCCAGGTTTCTATCGAAATCCTTAGGGATACTTGAAAACATGAAAATATGATATCAATGATGTCGGCGTCGTCACACACAACCTTACAACCTTTTTTTTTAATTAAACTTCTATGACCGTCATTATATTATTATTAACAATACACGCGTGAATATAAATTTTTAGTCTAATATCAGTAAAAAAACGTATTAATCCATTTTAATTTTATTGAGTATTTTTTATAAATTTGAATGAATGAATGATAGATAACTTTTTTTTTTGTAACATAGTCAAAAGTGATAAATTAATAAAATCGAATAGTTCGTCATAGGTATTTCCACGTACACAAAAAAATTTTTTTCTCTGTGCCAAAATAAAAAATTTGGTTTTTTAAATATATTTGTATATATTTGTAGTTGTTTAAATCTTTTTGATTTCGTTTTTAGTTTAAAAAGGCATAAAAAAAAAAAAAAAATTTTTTTTAGCTGATACGTAGTACGGACTCGTTTGACAACCCGTGTATGTATGTGCGATTGTAAATTATTTTTTTAATGATTGTGAATACTTTGAATGGCCAAGCCTCTCTCATAGTCCCTTCCCTCCCTCTCTCACTCTCTTTTTCTCCCTCTCTATTTCTTTTTCTTTTACTCCCCTTTCCCCTCATCCCTTTTACTATCGGTCAAGGTGCGGCACAATTTGCACATTTAAATTCTTGAAATTTAATGAAATTGAAATTATTAAATTCCGTTATTTGACCCATAATATCCCTGTTTTTTTTTTTTTTTTTTTTGCCAGTTACCTTTAATACCTTATTTTATTAAATCTACGTTAAGAGATCGTAAGATTTTTAATTTATTTTCACACGTTTTCCGCATAAATCTTTTTTTTTTCTTTTTTTAACTTTAAATAATATAATTGATTTAGATGCAAGTTGCCATTAAATATAATTTCACTAAGATAAAAAAATAATAATAAAATAACAACATGTGCGAAAAAGTTTTTTTATATATTTCAGTTTTTACTTTATTTAGCGTGTTTAACTGAGGATAATAATGCGATCGAGTCAATAAATACACTCGGAATAAAAAAAAAAAAAAATATATATATATATATATATATATATATATATATATATAAATTGGTACAACAATTTAAAAATTATATAAACCACTGACAGGTTATTAATAATTAAATATTTCTTCTTTGTTTCCACGTGCCTTTTTTTTTCGTTGAATTAATTTATCATTTTAATTGTAATTTATTTTATTAATGTAAAACTTGTCCGTTTTAAAAATTGTTAATAAAAAAAATTAAGAAAAATTAACAACTATTATACCTGGAGAGCTTTAAAATCAGTTTTTTTTTTTTAAATTCAAACTCAAGTACAAAAAAAAAAAAAAAGACAGACATTATTAAAATTGTTTTTTTTTTTTTCTCGAAAGAGAGAGAGAGAGAGGGGGGGAGAGATAAGGGGAGAGAAAGAGAGAATAAATTGAGAAATAATTTTTTTTTTTTTTTTAACAAAAGGACTGAAAATAATTATTGAAATAGTGATAATAATTAATGGGATTCATCACGGTTTATCGAAACTATTTTTCACATGAGGAACGGAAATTGATTGATTTCGAGTTAGTTTTCAGTTTTCCAATTTTTTTTTTTTTTAAAGTCGAATCCTACTCGTTTGAAAAACGTAATCTAACTTTTAAAATTCGATATTTAACTTTTTTCTCACGCGATTAAAGAGAAAAGCAATTAATTTTCATTAGCCGTATAAACCCACGATTGTTTTTCTCCAGCTGCAAACAGTAAAAAAAATATTGCGCTTAAAAAATATATGATTACGCAAATAATCCAAACCCCCATCCAGTCCTCGATGTGAACCGAGTTCCGACCAGATATATACCAAGCTGACACCATGGGTGCAAAAATTCCTGAAAGCGTTGCACACGTGTTGGCCAGTCCGGAAATGATAGCGGCGTGCGGAGCAGCTATATCCAAAGGATTCACGTTAAATGCCGACCACGTTATCCCACCCATTCCGATGGCCAAAATCGAAAAAGCCACGCAAAAATACGGGTTTCTATTGAATATTAATAATATCATGAATATAGATTGTGCGAGAAATCCTCCGCAGCAAAACATTTTACGGACGCTCACGGTTTTCATATGCTTTGTTCTTCTCAGAAAGTCAGATATTTGACCGAAAACTTGCATCAAAAAACCTGTAACTGTGAAACACAGTCCGGTGTAAAAGGAAGATAGTTGGAGGTTAATTTTTAATGTTTCGTGATAATACTTTGGACCGTGCAAAAGCATCGTGTAGTATCCCCAATTGTGACCGGTTTGCGCCACGACCGCCGCCCCCACCGGCATGGAAGAAAATATTCTTTTCCACGGATGTTTCGGTTGACTATCCGTTCGTTCTCCTATTGACGTTTGAATGTATTGCAATTCGGATTCCTTTATGAAAATATCTTTTTCGGGTCCGGCAAACACCGTGAAAGACCATGCGACAGACCAGGCCAAAGAAAGTGCTCCGAATATGTAGAACATCCACTCCCAGCCTAAATAGTCGCCGATCACGCTGCAAATGGGCATTATGATTATAGAAGAAAAAAAATTTCCACTTATTGCGATCGTGCTGAGAATGGTTCTTTCGAGGGGAGGAGCCCACCTCGCCCACATGGAGCTTATGGCCGGCACCGTGACTCCTTGAAATAAACCGCAAATCACTCTCATGGCAATGGACGCACCGACGCTAAACTTGAGACACGCGGGCCCCACGAAACTGATTAACCCCGAACCCGCGACACCCAAATTGAGAACGTGATTTCCTCCTATGATGCCGGCGAGATAACCACCCGGAATTTGTGTGATGATGTAACCGTAAAAAAAAGAAGCGAGAATGATACCTTGAACGTTTTCGTCCCACATGAATTCTTTTTTCGTTGTGGTTGCATTACTTTCTGTAACGTTAAAACCTTTGGTTATGAATATAATAGCGACACTGAGATTAACCCTCGTGGAATAGGACACAACGTAACCAATGCAAGCCATAATTGCTATGTAATAACGTCTCCTTCTGAAAATGCAGCAGGGATGACCTAAGCCATCCTGCCTCATGTCGGTATTTTGATTATCCATTATAAGTTCACCGTAAATTATTTCATTAACGTCACATAAAAATATTATTTAAAAAAAAAAAAAAAAACTAATAATAATAATAATAAATAAATATATGGATCAACAAGTTAAAACAAATACGGAAAAATACTCTATGTATGTAAAAGAGATATTATTAAATATGAAACCTCCTGGATATAAATTTTCCATAGGGTATCGTTTACCAGTACATCGCTTTCGTAAAAAAATATATTTATTTTCCTCTCTCATTTTCTCTCTCTCTCTCTCTAAAATGAAATGATTATATAATATCTTAATTGGATAATTTCCCATTGAAAAAACTATTTTTCACGGTACCAAAAAAAAATTTTTTTCCCCCCTTTAATTAATATTCTATGAAAATATTTTGAGTCAATATACGTGATAATTGTAAATTATACTAAAAAAAAAAAAAAAATGTATGTCGCAGAGTTTAATAATAAAAACATGACTTAATTCAATTGAAAATCGCATTTTTAAAAACCTTAATTCGGTCCTATTTTCAAATAATAGAGCAGTAAAAAAAGAAAAAAAAAATATTGAAAGGAAAATTTTCACCCTCTTTGGCAAATAAATCAAAAAAAAAAAAAAAAAAAACAAAACTATTTTTTTTTTTTTTCAAGGTCTCTTTTTCTTCACTTGACTATTGTAAAAAGTCATTATTATTTTTGCAACAATAAATAAATAAATAAATTTGACACAAAGTAATTTATATATTAGGAGAAGAAAAAGTTTTTTTTTTCTAAAGTGAGAGTCATTTTTGTTAAAAATAAAAGTGAGTTTTTTTTTTTTTTTTTAATCGCATCGTTCTTCTACAAATAAATTACAATTCAAATAGTTTAATATGTTAATTACATAATAATTTAAAAGTCCATCGAACGACGCATAATATTATTAAAATTAAGAAGAAGAAGAAAACATTAAAATGAATACTTTTATATATATATTCCGATGGTTAAACGTTGTTTTCTTTTCAATTTAAAACAAAATATTTAACGCTTTTATGAATATTTAAGTCTTTTTTTTTAAAAATTATATTTAAAAAAAAAAAAAAAATAATAATAATATTTAGCAAAGTTCAAAAATGAATGTCTTTCGTTTCATTGGTAAAATCATTAGATTTTAAAAATTCAAAAACAATTAACCTTTTTCCCTTTTTATTCGTGCCTGTCCGTTATTCGTGTCGCCGTTTTAAGGTATTCGATATTATTAAAACAATTTAATTTAAAAAAAAAAAAAAAAAAAAAAAACGTACGTACAATTTTATTATTTCTATAAATATATATTGATTATTTGTTGTTCGTGCTGATCGAAGTAGAGAGATTGATAATTGTCAAGGGTCCGGGTAAAAACATAAACTGGGTAACACACACACACACACACATTTGTTCCGACTATATTATTATTATTATTAAAATTTCAACCGGTATTTTTTTTGATTTTACCGTTTTATACGCGGTACTACCCAATATTTGAAATTTTTCATTATGATAAAAGCCGGTGCAATGCAAAGATTTTAAAATTTTCATAAATTTTTTTAAGTTGTTATAATTATTTTATAATGATAATGAAAAAAAGTTCCTGTTATTATTATTATTATTTTCGAATGAATCGGAAGATATTGAAAACCCGAAGGCAAAAACTGTGGAAAAAAAAAATAAGGAATGGTAAACAATCTAGAGATTTCAGAGAGGTCACATTCCATGGTTTTAGGAATCAATGAATGAATGAATCTAACTAAAACATTATTATATTTATGTGCAAAAAAAAATATGATCGAACCCCCCCCCCCCGCAAAAAAGAAAAAACTACAAGCATAATCCAACGTACAAATAAATATAATTATTATTAAAATTTACTGATGATTAATCAATATACATATTTATATTATTTTTAACTCCTTGTTTTATTAAATTAAAAAAAAAAAAAAAACGGTAAAAAAAATTATGTCAGTACCTGAAATACATCCGAAAAAAAATCTATTTATTTACCTTTTTTTTTATAAAAAATTTAGCTGCTGACTTAATAGCTCAGGTAATTTTTTTTTTTTAAAAACTAAATCGAGGGTGCTTTTATTTTTTCGAAATTTATGACTTACGATGAAATACTTTTGAAAAAAAAAAAAAAAAAAGGGTTTCCTAATGAGTTCTCCCAAAAAAAAAAAAAAAATTTTTTTTCAAGGTTTCCTTTCAAATAATTCTATTTATTATTATCTTTTATTTTGTTATTTTTTTTTTTTTTGAAAACTATTGATCGCTTTTATTATCATTATTATTTTCATTGGATATAAACTTTTTTTTTTTTTTTCATGCTTGTTGGTTAATTTACCGATATTATCCAGGCGCATATAAAAAATTATTTTTAAATTTTATAAGCGTTTGAAAATCTGATTGCTTATTCATGCTGTGAACAACTGGTAAATCAGTTGAACTCGTCGTCATTCCAATGACCAATAATAAAAAATAAAAAAAAAAAAAAAATAATAATAATATTTTTCTGCTCGTCGTTTGATCTGATGTGCGGAACTCAAATGCTGCAGACACGTGTGTGTGTGTGTGTGTTTTTTTTTTTTTTGTTTGTTTGTCAAAGTTAAAACAGAAGCCAAGTTTACGAGGGACCGATACAATTTGTGAATATCATTATTAGTACGAAGTATAGTACATAGTACATTTATATATATATATATTTATGTATGTATGTACGTATATAAATGAGTGTGTATAAAGTGATTTAAACGAAATTTTAATAGACTCATTCGAATAATGACAAATCGGATTATTTTAAATATGTGGCAATATTTCTTACCTTTTTTTTCTTTAGATTGTGTTTTTTTTCAATCATCAGGTAAGTTGTTAACCACCAGTGTTGTTGTTGTTGTTTTTCTTCTTGTAATTCAGATAATTTATTAAATAGATATATGTAAAATATTGAAAGAAAAATCTCCTCTTGAATTAATGTTTGGTGAGAAACCACAGGATTATACTCGAGTTTCAAAAGTTTTGAATTTCTTGTAATAAAAATCCAGAAAGCGAGAGACCATGTTTAGACTCGATGAAAAAACAAATTTTTATACTAAAAAAAAAAGAAAAAAAATTATTATTTATAAATAATAAATACCGTATAAAATGTTAATTTTAATATACGTACCTGTTGTGATAAACATGTAATTTATTTGAATAAAAAAAAAATTTTTATTTTATAAATTATACTTTTTCACATCTTTTTTTGAATCGTATTATTATTTGTTTTTTCTTTAATTCTGTTTTGATTTAAATTATTTTTAAAAAAAAAAGGGTATTGATTAAACGCTATAGAATCAATGAAAATAATAAGTAAATAATATAATAGTGGAACCGAAAACATTTTAAACCCTTCTTTCTTCCCTTCCCCCCGTTATATATTATATTTCTCTGATTCGCAGCCGTCAAAAAATTATGTAATAAATAGCACGATATACATATATATATTTTTAATCGTTTGCTACTATTAATTAATATGTATTTATTAAATATCAGGGGAAAATTTTTTTAATTACAGAATCGGATAAAATGATGAATGAGACAAATTTTCAATTTTGGTCGCCTCATTGGACTTCAATTTTTATTTACGAAAAAAATGATCGAACCTCATTTTTTTTATGTTCATTATATTCGTTTTTTTATTCTCCATATTGGATTTACTATTTGCAATTGACCGCATTTATTATTTTGGGATCCGCTGTTATTTTTTACATTATATTTTTACCTTTGAACTTAAAAAGGGTAAGATTTATTATTGTGAATTGAATGTTAACTCATCCTTTTTCGTAGTTTTGTATCACATTGTAATAATAATAATAATGACATCCTGTTCTTATATATTAATTCATATTTTGCTCTCTTAATTAGGATTTAAGCGACGTAGGATTCGATTACCTCACCGACGGTTACTACAAATCGGCCAAATACCGGAAAAAAAATAAAAGAGAACTTGTAAACGAAGTGCAAAGACTTCGAAAAATGGGCGACTTTCCTCCGGCTTTTCCGAACGGTTGGTTTCCCATCATGGAATCCGACGATCTTAAACAGGATCAGGTCAAAGAAGTAACCGCTCTGGGTGAACATTTTGCCGTATTTCGCAGGAGTGACGGTGAAGTGAACGTGTTGGATGCATACTGTCCTCACTTGGGAGCGAATATGGCGATAGGAGGAATGGTTCACGATAACTGTTTGCAGTGTCCTTTCCACGGCTGGAGATTCGATGGGAAAACTGGACAATGTATTTCTATTCCCTACGCTGAAACCGTTCCTAATTTTATAAAAGTGAAAAAATGGCCGTCGATCGAAGTGAATTCTTTAATATTTGTTTGGTATCACGCGGAAAACGAAAAGCCAACTTGGTATCCGCAACATTTGGAAGTCATACAGTCGAAAAAATGGCGATGTCACGGACGTTCGGAATTTTTAGTCGGATGTCACATTCAAGACATATCAGAAAACGGTGGCGATATAGCACACTTGAATGCGATTCACGCTCCCAGTTTACTGGCGGGTTACGATTTGAGATTTTACGAAAGATTCTATTTTAAATTTATTAGGCACATTTGGACCGGAGATTGGCGACCCAGTTCAACCACTTCTCATATGGGTATAATGAATCTGAGTCTCGACACGAGGGTGCTCAATAAATTTTCATTGGGAAAAATGAACGTTCACGTCGAGCAAATCGGACCGGCTTATGCAGAACTTCACGTTAGAAGCACTTGGGGACCGATGGTGATACTTCAAGCGGTCACACCAGTGGAACCCAATCTTCAAAAGGTGGTAAATAGAATTTTTGCTCCTCCTCACCACTTTCTAACGGCCAAATTGATGCTTTACGGCGAGCTCATCATGGTAATATCTGAAAATTTAAACAATTTTTTATTTATATGTAAAAGAATAAAAAAAATTTAATATTATTGATTTTCAGTTTGAGCGAGATATAATGATATGGAATCATAAGAAGTACTTGTCCAAACCTCAGCTCATAAAAGAAGAAAGAGCACTCGTAAGACCCCGAAGGTGGTACAGTCAATTTTACTTTGAAAATAGTCCCAAATATATTTTTAAACGAGAAAATTTAGAATGGTAATTCGCGATTCGCCTCGTTTACCAATAATTATATATCACGTATGCTATAAAGTTTTATAAAATTAGGTTATAGTATTGCATAATATTGAATGATTAGTTTAAAAATTTTCTTTAAATAATAAATATTAAAAAAAAAAAAATTATTAATAATTAGTTTATAGTTTGAATCAAATCAAAAAAAAAAAAAAAAAATTTTGTTGGAACTGTGTTTTATATACAAAAAAAATTAAATATTATTATTATTAGTTTTGAAAAATATTTCAAACAAAATATTATCCTCGCTATTTTAGTAATAAAATTAAATAATTAATTTTTATTTAATTTATATTTAATTTTTTTTTTCCCTGTCATTTATTCCTCAAGGATCAAACCCGGAAACCCGGAATAAATTTTGAAAAAAAAAAAACTCCGGCAAAACACAAGGCGAATTGTCGTGAATAAAAATTAAATAATAATAATAATAATATTTTTATTCAAGTTTTTTTTTCTCTTTTTCTCCTCTTCCATAAGTTTATTATTATTATTATTATTGTTTTTTAACTTTAAAGTAAAAATTAAGAAAATCATATCAAAAGCGCAAAATAAAAATTTAAATATATTATATAGGTATATATATCTAATTTTTTTTTTTGTTTAATTTGTTCAATTTTTGATAAATAAATACGAATCAGTAGCCCATCAAAAATGAGGCGTTGGGAAATTTCCTTCTGAACTCAAGACATCTCTTTTGGTCTAAAGCTAAAGAATGATTTTTCACGTATATTTGTCTTTCCAACCTTTTTCTCGCGGCATAAAGTTTTTCAATGCTGTCGTTTATTTTCGTTAAATGTACTTGCAAAGCAGTCACACGTTCCGATATTACTTTAATCTCTTTTAAGAGTCTGAAAATTATTAAGTAAAAAAAACGGATGAATACAATAATACAACGTACGAAGGAAGGATAAAGTTTTTTACCAACCCCATTTGAGATTTATCTCTGCAATTTTCCGCTCCCGGACGATGACGTTTATTTTCGAGTCTCGTTTGTACGACTTTCAAATTAAAATCCACTTGACGTCCCACCTTATCTAAATCCCCGTATAAACCTTCTGCGTGAGCAATTTCTTTTAAAACGGAATCTAATTCAGATTCAAGTTTTTGCTTGGCACTTCCAACTTCATCTATTCTCTGTAGAAAAGCTTTCAAAACTTTTTCGTCTTGTTTTATTAAATCTTTAACCGATTCGGGGAGTATGGAAGAATGAATTTTCTGTCTCAGGAGTTTTGAACTTTTTATAGTTTTTTTAATACTATTTAAAATCTCATTCATATATTCTTCCCAAATCAATAAAGATGACGTGCTAAAAATCAAAAAGAGTGCGATTTTTTTTAAACATGAATAAATTTATTATACTTGAGCGATCGCTAATTAACTTATTATTGTTCACTTTCACTTTTTGAAAAAAAAAAAAAAAAAAATGTCTACTTGAACACGGATTTTAAGGTCAAAAAGTGAACATGAACGATAATAATATTTAAAAAAATTTTACTTGCTCTTTTTCGTGTCTGGCATTTCCGTGGCAAAAAAAAATTTCATCAGATGAACTTTTCAGACCGATATTTTCAGTTTCAAGTTGCATCGTCTCTTTTTGATCGCTCCAAAGGGAATGAACTTCTTGGTAACACCCTTTAATTGTTTTATACTCAACTTCAAATTCTCTGAGAGTCGCATTGTATAATTGTCTTATTTCTTCGCATAAACCTTTTTCCTATAAAGACATATATTGGTGAACAAATCAAATTTCCAAAATATTATTATAATATTGTTTTTAATACATACTTGAAACAATTCTTCTTCTACTACGTCTCTGACTAAATCTTCTGTAAAACGTTTTTTACGAATCGTACGGCATTCCTCGTTAATTCCTTCAACTACACCTAAATATTCTAATGCTTTTCTTATACGTAATTTATATTGTCCCATTTGTTCTACTTCTTCTCTTAATTCTATAATTATTAAAATGGGGGGAGGGGAAATAATAATAATAACAACGTTTTAATCATCAATCATCAATTGTCTTAAAATAATAATAAACACCTTCACAATATCTGGTAGTTACATTATTTTTAATTGTAACATCAACCGCTCTTTGTCTTAATCGCAACGTGTTTTCGCTTTGTTCTTTGTCACAAGCAGAAGCCACTCCGGAAATTATGTTTTTACTTTCGTGATCGAGCCTTTGAAATTTAAATATTAATTAATTTTTTAATTTTAATTTTAATTTTAAATATAATTTTAAAAATTAAAAAAAAAAAAAAAAGGATTGTACTTACATATCTGCTGAAGGGATTGGTCCGACTACGTTGTCGTTGGCCTCTCTCCATTCCATCGGACTGTATCTCCTTAACCCATATTGTGTCACCCTGGGCCGAATTCCTAAAAATATTTCAATTTTATTTTTTTAAATGTATAACAAGATATAATTATATATATCACATATAAAAATATATATAAATAAAATTTTCGTACCTGTCAATGCGGATAAAGGGCTCCAATCGACTCTTCCTTCAGCGCCACATTCCAAGTCATTTTTTTGTTCATTATTGTTTGGGTTTTCATTATTCCCTGACATTTTAAAAAACAAAAAAAAAATTTAATTATTAATAATTTTTTGAGTCCGAAATAAAAAGCAATAATTAAATTTGAAAAAAAAAAAACTTTTATTTTATTTTTTATTTTAAAATTGAAAACTCTGTGAATTATTGATTTTTAAAAAAAAAATCATTAAAAAATATATATCGAATATATGTATTCATAATAATAAACAAAAAGCAGAAATTAAATACCTATCAATGGCTGTCACAAATATTATAACGAATCGCGAGAAAATTTTTTTTTTAAATTAAATAACTTTTTCCGTTTTAACCGAAAAAATAATTTTTTTTTTTTTTTTTTTTAAATAAGTGTATTACAATAAAAACAATAATATTTCTATAGATAAACATCTACGTAACATAAATGTGAAAACAACATATACAATTATGTTTTGTAAAATTCATTAATGCGTGACAAAATATTTAAATTTATATATATATATATATATTTTAAAATTAGCGCCAAAATTGTTCATACGAAATAAAATGTACGTTCCGGACGTTGTATTAACTTTTATAAGTTTGTACGAATCATTCTGTTTCCAAGCAACAAAATACAAATAGTTTTCAAAATTAATATTTTTTAATATAAAAGTTTTATTAGAAAGTATCAAAATTGAGTTCTTTCTTTTGATTTTTTAAAATGGGATGTCATTGTAACGTACAAGAAATTGAATGCACTCATCATGCGGAAGAGGTAAAAACCGAATTGTCATCTTTTGTAGTCTTAATTAATTCATAATTAAATATTTATTTTCCATCCCCCCCCCCTGACCGCCGTCAGCCGAAAAAGAAAATTTATCCAGATAATGTACCGTACTTACCACTACCAGGCGATAAATATGGAAATTCTGCTCCAAAGGAAAATCCTCAGGACCAAAGCGGACCCTGGGCCACCGGTAAAGTCTCGTGGAATCCTTCGGCAGGAATCACAGGTACCAATAAATGATTACAAATTACATTACTAAAATTCAGTGGTAGAAAATATCATTACACACACATTATATATATGTGTGTGTGTGTGTGTGTGCGTGTGGACGTTGTGTATAATTATATTTTTAATTGTCAGGAGTGCGGCCGATTGTTGATCGTTACACCATAACCAGATACAGTATGAAAGACTGGAGAAAAAAAAATCAAGATGAGTTAGATAAAGCTTTTTTTACAACTAAGTAAGAATGATTAATTAATCACATATGAATGGGGTATCACATAAAACCTTATTTTATTATCAAAAAAAAAAAAAATTATAGTTTATAAGTTATATTACTAGTAGATAAAGCTTATGAAAGAAATTTTTTTAGTATTATTAGTTAAAATTAATTAATGCAAAATATGAAAACTCCGCCTCATCTTTCCTGTCATCTTTCCTCATTACGCTCCAAAATTTTTCCCTTGTTGCAAAAAGAAATCTTTCCAGATTAAAGTCTGATGTTAAATGTACAATGGATTCCATTATTGAGGCAACCGACAAACATCAATCAGATAATTTTTTTTATCTGGAAGACAGATTCAAAGAAGTTAGAGATAGTAAGGACGATATTGAAACACTTGTAAAAGGTAATATATACATGTGTACATCATTTAATCATTAAATAATAATAATATTAATAATAATAATTTTTTTAAAATATCATCACTAAATTTTAATCAAATTAGATTTCAGAGAGGAAATTGTACTGTTGACAGAAACAAAGATTAAACTTAAATATTCTCTTCCGGCTCTTAAAATACCCGAATCCATTGCTGGAGAATGCATTGACAGGCGTACAACTAGAATTGAACCTGATTTGGTTAAGGACGAAGTAGAAATTGAATTGGTTAAGGTAATTCCTTGTTAAACACCGAGAATAACCCTTTCTAACCGTTCATTCTTAAAAATTTTCTTTTTTCTTTTTTTTTTTTTTTTTTTTACATTAAATTACATGTTAAACTTTAAAAAAAAAAAATTCTTTTAAATTTTCATGATGTAGGAACTGTCAATGGTTAATAGCGTTAGAGAACTTTACGAAGACTTAATTAAAAATCTTGAAAAACAAATAAAAAGTAATAAAGCTATAAAAGATCAATTAGAACTAGCATGGAGTGATAAAAAAGAAACTTGTGAAATCGAAACTGTTAATATCGGTATAAAAAATAATACGCCGACAATTGGTTATCACGGAGGAGCAATAAGGTTTCCTGGAACGTAAGGGAAACGTTTTTTGTATTATAGAAAAAAAAAAAAAAAATTATTACTGCGATAATTACAAATTATTTACACTCAATTCATATTTATTTCATTATAAGGTTTTTAATTTTTTAAATATATTCTATCTTAGGCAATCCACGCCGGAATCTTGGGCAATTTACAACGCCACTCTTATAACCATGGCAAAAGATGAACTTACCAAATCGAGAGATCTCCGAAAAACAGCCGAAGAAAATATAATTGAAGAATGTGTAAGAAATCTTCGGAAGCAAGCCGACATTGTGCACAATGCTCTATTAAAGAGAATCGAAGAAATGGATCAATGTCGACAAATGTTCGAAAACGAACTTCGAGATGTTTTACGGCAAATAAGTGAAACCGAATCGCTTTATGACGGCCTTTTGAAGTTACAACGACAGTTAGAACACAACACAAAAGTCGTTGAAACAAGGCTTAACAATCGTTTGAAAAGACCGAGAGCAGAAAATTGTAAAGATGTCCCCGAACTAGAGTAAAAATCAACTCACGATAAATAATTATTAGCAAAAAAAAAAAAAAAAATCCACTTTAATAATAATAATAATTTTCTTTTTTAGGCTCTTCGAAGAAGCCGAACACATAAATGATTATAAAAAGCGTTTAAAACAACAAATTTATGACGTTGACAAAACAGTTTCAAAACTTTACGAAACTCGAAGCAATTTAGAATATGTTATATTAACAAAAAGAAAATCCCTGTATGTTGACCAACAGCGTTGTTTGGCATACAGAGAACGTTATCCTAGTGCAGACACCTTAGCTGGAGGCAACGCCTGATGTGTGTAATTTTAAATTGTTACTATGTACTTTTTTGGGTTTGCTTGTTTCATTTCTTTTTTTATTAATTAATATTTTAAGCACAAAGTAATCAGAGTAAACACTTTGTATAACCTATATGATATTCGATTCATAAATTTATTCAATATAAGAAACTATTAAGTTTAATAATTTTTTCTTGATATTTCAATTGTAATAAAGGAACAATTAGTTACACATTTTATTAATGATATATATATATATATATATATATATATATATATATATATATATATATATATATACTTTTATCTTACCAAATTACTTTAAGTGTAAAATTTGAGTAACATTTTTCTTTTTAATTTTGAAATTAATACCTAACTGTAATAATGCCAATGATTAAATTATTTTATATAGCAACAATAATTAATTAATATTATGTTAATGCATGTGCATTAATAATAAGTAATATTTACTTAGAGAACATTATAATAATAATTCTATCCCAAGTTAGAAAATCAAACATTAAATTTAGGCAATTATATAAAATCATTTTATTACAAATAATACTTTTGAAAAATTCTTCATAATCATCTGTCATTAAAAATTTGATATTCTATAAATTCCTATTTTATCATGCTGAAGTATCAACATATATTTTATATGTGTATCATAGGTTACCATAAAAAATTTAACAAGTCCTTAGTTTTTAATCAATCTGTAGAGTTATCATTTTAATTTTTCAATGTGATTTTTGAGAATCGCTCATTTAACATTTGCCTAAAAATTTGTTCTTAATATAAAACTTTTCACATGTGGCTATTCAATTGTGATCATTACACCTGATAAATTTTTGTGACAGTAAATTATTTGTTTTAAATATTATGAAAAAGATATATTCTAAAAAATAAGTTTTTATTTATTTATTTTGGGTTCATTTCAATGCAAAATTAAAATATCAATGGTAATGCACTTTTTTTCATTTGAATAATGAATTGCAATGTATATTAATACTAATATTGTGAATTTACAAAAAAAAAAAAAAGAAATTAATAATCTAATTATGAAAACAATTTAATTAATTACTCAATTATGAAAATTTTTTAACTAAAAGTTAAAAATTTTAATATTACAATAACAATAGCTAAATAGAAAAAAAAAAAAAAAAAAAGATAAACTTTTCTTTTTTTTATTCTGTTTGTTCTAAATAAATAAAAACCCTTAGAATTCGTTTTAAAGTTAAAATAAAAACTACTATTCTAAAATAAACTAATATTTGAAAATAATTTCCGAAGAAAAAAAAAAATCCAATAAGACTTATGCAAAATGAAAACACTATGGCGTTGTCCACTATTTCACAGCCTTCTTTAAAAAAACATTAATAAACATTTCAGTACTAAATTTGTCATGTCAAAGAGGTTAATAAGATGAAGGAAATATTTAATATTTATAAAAACTTCAATCTTTAAAAATTTTAATGACTGCGAGGATATCAAATGATGAAAGACTAAATTTTAACTTTTTTTAACGTGTAATTTTTAAGTTTTTATAACTTCAAATTTATGTTTCGAAAAAAGTTTAAATAAATATATTGAGACAAAACAGATGTAATTAATGGCCAAATGATATCATTTCTTAGGTATGTTTTTTTTTATTATTTAATATAGTGATCAATTTAAAAACGAGAGGCTAGAATTTATCATTGATTTCCGATTAAATTCTTTTTTTATTTATCTATATATATACACGTAAATAAATATTAATTTTATCGGCCTGGGTTTTTCAATCGATTTTTCCCTGCCTTTTTTTTTTTGCAAAATATTTCATAATATCACCGTATCAAATAATAATATTGCATAAAAAAAATGAAAACATAATATTATTAAAACTACTGTTAACATCAATTCTCCTTTATCTTAAAAAAAAACGTATATATTTGTATTCTCTTTTGGAAGAATAATAAAGTAATTGGCGACCCATGATTTAATAAAAACTTATTTTTTTAAGCATTAAAATGTATAAGAAGATTATTTTATTCCATGTATATATAAAATCATTCAGTTTTTGTATATGGCAATGATGATTATTTTTTTTAAACAAATACAAACACTATGGTAAATCATTATTTATGTATTAATTATAAGTAGTTTTTAATTTAATTTTTGAGCCCAAAATAGTTTTAATAATAATTATATATAATTAATGGCAATTAAAATTTGTTTTTCCTACTTATCAGCCAAGAAAAAAGCACTTCAATTTGTCATTGAGCCAATAGTGAACTGCATTTTACCGAGATAAATTGAATAAAACTGAATTTTATTGCGAATAAATGAAATTAATAAATTTATTTAAAACCTGCAAAGATTTAAGTTCATTTTTATTTATTTTTTTTATTTTAATTTTGAAATTTAGTTAGTTTATAATTATTAAATAAAAACCGATATGAAAATTGTCATGATTAACTTGATCACTTGCACACATAATTTCAGATTAAATAATTATATTTATTTTTATTTTATGATATTTATTGTCAAAGAATAGCAGCTCATGTTTATTGTCATTATTATTATGCTCATTTTATTTTATTCACAAAACACCTTATACTTAAAAGTAAAAGGTGATGTAAAAATTTATAAACCTTTTTAAAAGAAAAAATGATTAATGCTTGATTTAATAACGACTAATCCTAGATTTTATATTTAAAAAAAAAAAAAATAACAGGGAACAAAAAGACTGAATGAATGTAAATAGGCTTTTTGTTGATGCTAAATATAACTTTGGGTTGTCACCCAAAGTGATGAAAGTTGTGGTTTGGGTGGTATATGAAAAAGAAAATGTTTGATAACTGGGTTTTACCATAATTTGTAAGGAGTAGTTGGACTTGTTTGTTAAAACTAACGATTCTTATATTAATTGTATTTTACATTCGTCATAATTATTATTCTAATTATTTGTCATTAAATGATGTATCATGATGGCATCATAGTAAAATATTCAAGGCCCAATTTCAAGAAAATAATAAAATTATTGTAGTTTTTTTTTTTTATTAAAATAATGAATTCTTCTAAGTAAACCCATTCATTATTGTACGTTTAGAATAATGTAAACTTTCGATTTTCGAAAGTTGAATAAACAATTTCAATTCCCTTTAACTTTTTCCAAAGATATTTTTGACATTTTTGTTTTCTTAATATTCAACTATGGAAGAGATATAACTACTAACTTTTTATCATTATTTAAATTTTTTTTTTTTTTGAAGATCCTCATTTGTTTTTCCATTTACCTTTTAAAATATCTATATACTGTAAGAAAATAAAAAATTAATATTTTTTTGCATTAAATTTTATTTCAGGGAACGTTGGATATCATAAGATGAAATTTTTTAATATCGGTGTTTTGTTAATTGAAAAAGGTTAAAAATGGTATGAACACGAGTATTATATTTTGCTGCTTGTCTAGGAACCGCAGCGAAAGCCATGTTCGATTCCACTTCCTGTCCATCATAAATATTTTAATCGTGTGAAATGGATGAAGAAACGAGTATATTATGGATGAAAATTAACTGGTCCGTATGGAAACATAGCAAATGGAGAATCGATATGAGAATAATAGACAGATAACTTAGCGGTTTTTTTTTTTTTTTAAATTTTGTTTTTGATTAAATCCGTTGATTAATATTTATAGTTTTTGTATAAATAGTTTTTTTTTTTAATGGTTTAATTGTTGTTACCATAAACTATATAATTCGTTCGGTTAAAAGAAACTGATTAAATCCACAGGTGTATAATAGTGCCATTTAAAAAAAAAAAAAAAATTACTTAAAAGTTTTTTTTTGAATCCATATGAAAAAAAACAATTGAACGTGTTTGTCTTTCAAAGTTTTCATTACCGGTTTCATTGTATTAATTAATGTCTAACTTTTGGAAAAGCAAAGAAATATTGCTACCGCTCTCTATCACTAATCCTGTACTATTTTATCAACGGCAGAGACGAACGAACAAAAAGGATGCCATGTTGCTTTTGGTAAAACAAGTTACGATGAAAAGATTCATCCTCCTCCTTTTATTATCTAGTATTCTTTTAATAAGTTTTCAATTAAGGCTCACAACTTATTTCATCAATTCTCCATTCGGAAGGTATTATGAATTTTTTTTTTAATGATTCACCATAATGAGGGTTTGTTTATAAAAATATTAATATTTAATGTAAAATAAAATTTTTAGCCTCATGAGAAGGAATACTAGACCTGAACCAAATATTCGATGTTCATTTCAAAATGGAGTCGCCAGGGGAACTGTTCGTGCTCCCGATCATCGTTCGGCTGCGAGACTTAGAATAGATCCGAAAGTTTTGGTTTTTGTAGAAACTACTTATTCCAGATTGGGACGTGATGTTGCCGAGCTTTTAGTGTACAATAGAATAAAGTAAGTCGGGTAAAAAAAAAAAATAATATTTTCAATTGAAATCTTATGCTTAAATTATATAACTTCCCCCCCCCCCCCTTCACTTTGACAATTTATTACTAAATTCAAATAATAAAATCCCTTTTAGTGATTCTCAAAAAATTTTTCTCTTCGTTTCTAGAGACCCCTTTCAAAAGTAATTGTTATAAAAATTGTTGCGTAAAGTGCGACGAATCAAATTCTGTGTAAAATCATCGGAATATTAACGATATAGGTACAAAAAATTGTAGAGATTGTATATATACTTTGAATGAAAAAAGATTAAATGAGAAGATTGTAAAGTTTATCATGTTTGGATTTTCTCTGCAAAGGGTCTTTAAATTATCCTAATATTATATTAAAATAAAATTGAATGATACTAATTTTACGATTGGAAAAAAATCTCAAAGAGGATTTTCTTTTTCTTTTAAATTAATCTTATTAGATACAAAATAGATGTTGCGGGTAAATCGCTTCCTGTTTTAACAAATTTGGACAAAGGAAAATATGGTGTCATCGTTTTTGAAAATTTAAATAAATATCTTCTAATGGACAAATGGAACCGAGAGCTTTTAGACAAATATTGTAGAGAATATAGCGTTGGAATTATTGGATTTATACCACCGAGCGAAGAATCTCTAGTAGGAGCTCAACTGAAAGGTTTCCCGCTTTTCATTCATACCAACTTAAAACTAAAAGTGAGCGTTAATCAATTTTATTCTTTCGGCGCATTTCTATTGAATATGTTTCGGCGATTACATCGAATAAATTGATATTCATTTTTAGGATGCAGCTTTAAATGCAGCTTCACCTATATTAAGATTGACAAGAGCAGGAGAAACTGCTTGGGGTCCACTTCCTGGAGATGATTGGACAATTTTTTCACCGAATCATTCTACATACGAAGCTCTATCGTGGGCAAGCAGAAATGAAAATTACATTACTACTTCTTTTAACAAAACGCCTTTAATTACTTCAGTGCAGGTAAATTTCCTGTAATTATATTAAAATTATACATAAATATATTTATTTGTGAACATAAAAGGATATTTAAAAAAAAAAAAAAAAAACGTTACTTACCTTAACGAAAACTACTTAAGAAACCACAATTTATGTATTTATATATATATATTTTTCTACAGTTATTTAAGTTGAAGTTAATCGGGGAATTATTTATATTTTTAGGATCACGGATTATACGACGGAATACAACGAGTTTTGTTTGGCAGCGGAATGAAATTTTGGCTTAATAAATTGTTGTTCCTCGACTCTCTTTCTTTTCTCAGTCATGGACAGCTTAGCGTTAGTCTTCAAAGATATATTCAGGTTGACATAGATGATATTTTTGTTGGAGAAAAAGGTACACGTTTGCAAAAGGATGATATAATGGTGCGTAAATTCGATGTGTTAACTCTTTTCCATAAGTAATGCTTTTTGAAATAAATCTGTATACTTATTTAAAAACGAAAAAAATTTTTTAGGCCATGCTAAAAACTCAACAAAGAATTCAGGAAATGATATCGGGGTTCAAGCTGAATCTTGGATTTTCCGGTAAATATTTTCATCACGGAACGACAGAAGAAAATTTGGGAGACGACATGCTTTTAGGTATTATCTAATATAATTTTATTATCAATAAAGTTTATCGATGAGAATTGCATGATTAAAATAAAAAGATATAGCCATTTTCTTCTTCGTATAACTCAACTCACGCTCGTTTTTTTGTTTTATATTAGAGATTTAAATTACGTCATTTTGACCTTAGACAGAAACGTGAAAATATTCATTAATTTTCTTCTCTTTTTTAAAGTTATTCTAAGCGAGGTAATTATTATAAATTTTTTTTTTTATTCCGACAGAAAATGCAGATAAATTTATGTGGTTTAGTCACATGTGGAATCATCTTCAACCTCATTTGTATGATAATTTAACGCAGTTAGAAGTTGATATGATATTGAATAGAAATTTTGCCAAAGAACACGGAATATCTGTCGATTCCGGATACAGTATAGGTAAATTAATAGGTTAATTTAATTAATTTTAAAACACGCCTACAAATAAGTAAAAATTTATTTCGAAAAAAAAAATTTCTTTACCTGAAGCTCCTCATCATTCTGGAGTTTATCCCGTTCACGAGTTATTGTACACGGCCTGGAAAAAGGTTTGGAATATTCGAGTGACTTCCACAGAAGAATATCCCCATTTAAGGCCTGCAAGACTTCGCCGGGGATTCGTTCATCGAAATATTATGGTTCTTCCAAGACAAACTTGTGGTCTTTTTACACACACAATATTTATCGAACGCTATCCAGGAGGAAGAGATAAGCTGGACGAGGCCATAGAAGGGGGCGAATTATTTCAAACGATTGTGTATAATCCTGTCAGTACACATTTTTCATTTTCAAATTATTGCATACTTTCATCATTTTATTTTTTATTTTTTTTAATTTTTACTTTGTAGATAAATATTTTCATGACACACATGTCAAATTACGGAAACGATAGGTTAGCACTTTACACTTTTGAATCTGTAATTAAATTTATACAGTGTTGGACAAATCTACGGCTTTTAAGTGCTCCTCCAGTTCAATTAGCTGAAAAATATTTTTTACTTTATCCGGAAGAGGTCGATCCAGTGTGGGGGGTAAATAAAAATTTAAAAACCATGCTATAAAAAAAAAAAAAAAAAAAAAAAAAAATTGATAAATTCATTGTTTTGCTTGTTTAATTTTAGAATCCGTGCGACGATTCTCGTCATATAAAAATTTGGTCCAAGAACAAAACTTGCGATCAACTTCCAAGATTTTTGGTTATCGGTCCGCAAAAAACCGGAACCACTGCGTTGTACACATTTCTTTCTATGCATCCAGAAGTGCAAAGTAATTTTCCCAGTGCCGAAACTTTTGAAGAGATTCAGTTTTTTAATGGTAAAAATTACTACAGAGGTTTAGACTGGTGAGTTTTACTGAAAAAAAAAAAAATTAAATCAAATTGTTATCTACGTCATATCAATACATTAAAATCTACTTGGCAGTAGTTATGAAAGTATAATAAAAATAAATAATATCTCTTACCTTTTTTTTTCTTCTTTTTTCCCTGTTTAAAAAAAGAAAAAAAATTATATATTATTCGTTAAAATCAATTTCATTAAAAACCAATTTAAAAAATTTTCTTTTTTTCAGGTATATGAATTTTTTTCCTTTGCCGAAAAATTCAAGCGCAAATTATTTTCTTTTCGAAAAAAGTGCCACATATTTTGACGGAGAATTTGTTCCAAGAAGAGCACATGCTTTGTTACCACATGCCAAAATTGTAAATAAATAATTTTTTATTTATTGACAATTTTAATCGGTTTAAATGAATTAATTTAAATAAATTGTTTTTTTTTTTTAAGGTGACGATATTGTTGTCGCCAGCTAAAAGAGCTTACAGTTGGTATCAACACATGCGAGCTCACGGGGATCAAATAGCATTAAATTATTCTTTTCATCAGGTCATAACAGCCTCAGATGTATCTTTGAGACCCCTGAGAGAATTAAGGAATAGGTAATTTTTTTTTTTTAAATTTTTGTTTCGGTTTAGTCAAATCCCATTCGAATGAGTTCCGTGTAAAAATTGAGGATTCAAATTTAATTTTACCAAATGATTGTAAATAATTTCGGGGAAACGGTCTCGCGCGACGGATTTTATTTATTTTTATTATTTTAAAATTAATATTTTTATTTCAGATGTTTAAATCCGGGTAAATATGCTCAGCATTTGGAAAGGTGGCTTTCGTATTATCCAGCGCAACAGTTGCACATAATCGACGGTGACAGATTAAAATTAAATCCTCTCGAAATAATGAACGAACTTCAAAAGTTTTTAAAAATTTCTCCACCGTTTGATTATTCAAAACGATTGAGGTGAGATTAATTAATTTAATTTTGTTGTTAATCCTTTTGGAAACTTGAATCGTGACGTATGACAGGAAACGAACAATTATCGGTTTTAATCGTGTATTTTAACGTTTGAATTTGCAGGTACGATCCGAAGAAAGGATTTTTCTGTCAGGTGATTAAGGGCGATCACACGAAATGTCTCGGAAGAAACAAAGGAAGACAATATCCTCCCATGGAAGAAAAATCATACAAATTACTTCAGAGATATTATCTTTCTCATAATACGGCCCTTGTTAAATTGTTGAAACGTCTCGGTATACGAAACATTCCTCAGTGGTTAAAGGAAGATTTAAGTGAAACTTTTCCTACGTGAATATTTTTTTAACAACATTTTATATGGCTATTATGTAATATATGTTAAATATGTGAATATAAATATGTTTTACCTGTTGATGATCAATCCGAGGCAAATTTTAAATCGATTTAAATTTTTTTCTTTTTTTTTTGAAATACCGATTCGTTGCATGCTAGGTTGAGGTGCAAGGTCGATTTTAACGCGAACCCTAAAAAAAAAAAAAAAAAACATTGTAATCTGTATTTCTTTGTATTAAAAAAAAAAAAAAAAAAAAAAAAAAAAAAAAATTACCCGATGAACGGAAAATGATGTTTAATGATGGTTGCTTATCAATGAAAACTACTCGTCGCTATTAATTTTAAATGTTACTCGTTCTCTCTCTCTCTCTTCCCTTTTCCCTTTTTTAATAAAAAAGTGCTATTTAATGGAGTGAGCATACAAACATTACAATAAAACATTATTAAAATAATTATTGAAAGACCTTTGTTATTATTATTATTATTTATAAAATAGGTTTTTAGATATTGAGACGTCAGACGTATCGGATTAAATTTCGGTGAAGAGTAAAATCACGAGTAAAATTGGCACGATATTAAAACCTGAGTAATTCAATTAATTAACAAAAGAAATAATTAATTTGGTTATTCGATATAAGTAATAATCTATGCCATCCGATGGCATCTGTCGTTTATAAAAAGGTCAATTAACAATAAAATGAAAATTTTTTAATCCAGTCAAATAAAAATGAAACAAATGTGATTCTGTGCTTGGTGAGAGGATGTCATGTTTTTTTTTTTTTTTTTTTTTTTTTTTTTTTTTTTTACGTTTGTTCGTTTGGCGGTTACAACAACGATGTAACGTTTTAAAATAAATTTAAAAATTAATTTTTAACTATTTCCCGACTTTTTTTTTTTTTTTCTAATGAATTCCCCGGGAATCCTATTTAAATTTTTTTTTTTTTTTTTTAAATAGTTAGTTTCAATTAAAGTGGTTCATTAAAAAAAAAAAAAAAATGAAGTCGAAAAATATTTTAACAATAAGTTAATTGGCCCGATGAACTAAATAATAATTCAATTTTATTATTTAAAAAAAAAAATTTTTTTTTTTTTTTTAAACGATTAAAATTGATTTGAGTCATCATCCATCCATTAACGCTATTATCATACTTAATAATAACAAATGGAAACTAAAAGAAAAAAATTTAATAATAAAACAAACGATTATGGCAAATAATAATAATAATAATAATAAATAGGAAGAAAATAATTATGATTTTATTATTAATAAGTAGAGAGATCAATAAAATTTTTTTTTTGAAAAATTAAAATAAAATTAATTTATTAAAACTGAAAATAGTCTAATAATAAACTTTGGCTAACTTAAAGTCTTGACCTCTGAAACGTTTTCATTTTTTTTTTTTTTTTTTTTTTGATAATGGGGTAAGTTTTAAGATTTTTTAAAAATTTTACGAAATATTTTCTTTTTTTTTTTTTGACACACGAATTCTTTCGCTCTTCCTTATTATTATTTTTTTTTCTTCTAAATGGCGTAATTAATTGTGAACTTAATTTCAATAAAATATTTTTTTTTTTTTTTTTCATTTGCCAAGTTATAAATTGATTTTAAGTAATAAAAAATTTTTATGCTAAACAAAGATTTTTTTTTTTTTTTTAACGAATAAATATTTGTTTGTGTGTGTGTTTTAACACATCAATGATAAAAAAATCTAAAAAAAAAATTGATTAAAACATTTTTTTTTTTCTTATAATCTTTATGAAATCAATTATTATTTTTAAAAATTAATATCATCGGCAAAAGTTTATTAAATTTAAATGTTTTGAAATTTTTTTTTTTTTTGTAAAACAGGAAATTGCGTAAAAATATATATATAAATATAAATATATTCGTTAAACATATGGAAATTTAACAGGGCAAGCAGACGTCGGAGACATTAATGATCGTCTCAGACACTATTCAAAGAGAACAAAAC